TGTATATATATATATATATATATATATATATATATATAGAGAGAGAGAGAGATTTTAAATAAGCTTCTAGTTCAACCTAAACATTTGTCAACATTTTATTTTTTAATAGTTATATTTTATTTTTTAATCCTAAATGTTTTAGTTACACTGGAGCGGAGCGGATCAGGAGAAACTTATTTATTTGATAATTTAACTATTTTATTCCCACTTCATAACTTTTGAATTTGATTCTAATTGAATGTGATTCTATTTGCCAATCATCCTTCTGTGCACACTCACAAAACAAAACAAATGCACCTGATTAACTTTCCTATTAACATTCCCATTAACTTCCTACCCATGTCTTGCTGTGGCCCTCGCTTTCACCACTCAGTAGTCTGTATGCTTTAAGTCTCAGTTGAAACTTACAATAAATATCTGCATAAAATAAATATGCATTGACAGCATTTAGTATGTATTCTATTCTATGGCGCAAATTCGGTTTGTCATATACTGATTATGCACCCATCCACTTCTTATTATAATTTCTTGTGTTTTCTCAGCTGTTCTTTAAAAAAAAAAAAAAAAAAAAAAGAAATATGCAGAGAACAAAGTTAAAGTCGTACATACATATATATTGAATGTGTTTGCAGTGTTACTAACTGCATGAGTATACATGTGTGTGCAGGTTCAAACCCTTCAGAGTTGGAGAGTATGCGTGATGCACTAGAGGAAGCCCAACGCTGGAACGCCTCTCTGCAAGCCAGACTGGGACAAATCCAGAACCGGGGAGGAGGGGTTGGACATGCCAACGATTCTAGTACGTTCATGTATCATGCGTATCATTTGTTTATTCTTAATTAAATTAGTTCAATTATTTTAGTTCATTTGACTTTAATTCATCTGATTATTTTAGTTGACACACTGAGTTTGATTGGCGATCAGACATCCTATATGAGTATATGTGTTGGCGAAGGACCAGAGGAGGAGCTCCAGCACTTGACCATTGAACAGCTCAGAATAAAGGTGAGTGCCTAATCGTCAAGTGCTATGTAATTTTTGTCAAACAAAATTGAAAGATTTACATTTTCCTCTTATTTTCAGGTTTTCGAGCTTCAGGCAGTCAATGCCGAACTGCAGAATACGCTGCTTCTGATGGAGAAAGACATTGTGGGTAAAGATCTAGTAGACTCTCAGAAAGAACCAGACCTAATCAAGCTCTCAACTCCAATCAAGGTATTAAAGGTCACAGTGAAATATTTTCTTAGAAATATTATTAGTTTTACATCTTATGTAAGGGTTTTTGGAATATATTTGTGCAAAGCTGACATTTGGTTTGATGCCAATGTAAAACGGGGCCCAATTTCTTACCTTCTTTTAACCTCTTGACCTTTAACCTCAGACCTTCAGATTTTGTGCTTTCGTGTTCCATTTATGATTGACCTCTTGTCTGTAGTTGAGTTTCTAGTTTACTAACATTAGTTAGCGGTAGGTTGGACCTTCTCTAGAAGTTTGTTTCTGTAACATGTTTGTCTGCTGAATGAGTGGTTATGTATATGTCTGCGGTTATTTATTTATTTTTTCCCCTCCCTCTAGTTTTCTCTCTCTCTGTCTCTCTCTTCCGTCCCTGCTAACCCCTGTTATCTCCTCTCTCTGTCTTTCTGGCTTATTTTCTTACCCATGATCACCTGCAGCCGCCCCATCCTACCGTTACTGTGTGCTTTCTTTATATTCTGTTCCATTATGGCATTTTGTGTTGTTAAGTCATGTGTCACCAAACATGCCATTACTGTAGCAATCACCGATACAGCAGAAACCCACTTCTGAAGATAATGTGACACCAATGCCTCCAAACACGAAGGTAAGAGAAATGGAAATAGATTAGTCAATTTTGTAAAATATTTTGTAATCTTGAACCTCAACTTTCAGTCTGGAAACCACAGTAGTCTTGTTTTTGTATTTACTGTTGTCCCGTGTGTTGTTTATCTCTAAGGAGAGATGTGAGAAGGGAGATCGCTCTCCAGAGAATGCTGGTGAGAGTAATCAACCATCACAGACTCAAAGACAGCAAAGGGATGGATCAGAAAAAGCAGAACTCCGATCCCTTCTCTCAGATTGTGGAGCGGAGTCAGTCTCTCAACTCCGGTATGTTTAAGATAACTAGGTATCCACATTGTAGCTTTGGTTGTATGTCAAATAAAACCTTTAACTGCTGCAATTTGTAGGGAGCAAGTGGCCAAACTCCGCTTGGATGCATCTGAACTCCGTGGACTTTTGAAGAAAGAAAACGCCACTGAGTCCAAAGAAAGTGCAGAGAGTTCTGGAGAAAGTGACAGCCATGGAGACTTGCACCAGACTGTGAAGGTGCTCCGCTCAGAAGCCAGAAGTCACCGAAAGATAATTCGACTGCTAAAAGAGCAGCTGCAGCGGAACTCTGTCTCAGATGCTAGAAGTCAGCTTGACCTTAAGATGATGGGCAGCAATATGGAACAACTGCAGACAAACCATGAAGATCTGCAGAGACACACCAGCACATTGGAGAAAGAGAACAAACCAAGAGAAAGGAAAGAAATGGAGGAGCGATATGAGAGAAGGCGGCAGGGTCAAAGCACCAAATCCAGCAAGAATCAGATGCAGCACATGGCCAGACATGCAGTGAGTATCAGTCACATGTGCTGCCGGAAAAGGTAGAAAGTCTAGCATAATAGTTGGTAACAGTTGTGGGTTCAAACCTACCAAGAAACATTTATGCCTGAATCTTCAACTTCTGGAGCAACTTGGAGTTAGGTGCCATGTTCAAGGACTCAAAAGTGGCTCATTGCATGCAGGAATTGAACAAGCAACCATCCAATTACCAACCCTATTATCCCAGAGTTGCCCAGTCCTGTTTCTGGAGATTTACCTTCCTAAAAAGTTCAGCTCCAACCCTGATTAAACATACCTGAACTGGCTAAGTAGGATCTTCAGAAGTACTTGATAATTACACATACAGTGGGGAAAAAAAGTATTTATTCAGCCACCAATTGTGCAAGTTCTCCCACTTAAAAAGATGAGAGAGGCCTGTAATTTTCATCATAGGTTGGGAGCAGGGTTGGAACTGAGTTCTTCAGGTTGGTAGATCTTTAGGAACAGGATTAGGTAACCCTGCTTTATCCAGTAGGGCTAGGTTGACAATACTGAATTCTTGATCTTGATTTTAATTAACCGATAACTGTTCTTTTCTTTAAGAAGAATTTACATGATTGACCTGATATATACCCAAATTAATCTATACCGAATCAAATCAAGAGCTTTTGAATCAAAATTGAATCTATTCATGTATTCATGTTCAATACCCAGCCCTATTATCCACTATGACACACCACCCCTTCTTCCCACTTCTTCTTGCCTTTAGTGTGGAGATGCATCCAAACCTGTTTTTACTGCTTCTTTGTCTTTTCCAAAGCATATAATCGTAAAATAATCCTAATGTCATTTGTTTTAGACATATGTAAAGTCTCGGCTACCAGTACCTGTGAGGCACAGTAAGAGTTCTGGGCAGAGTTCAGAAGATCTGAGTGAGCTGAATTTAGGCCACGTTCACCCCAGAAACAAAGACTACCTGACTGGGGCTGAAGAGTCTGATTACAGCACGGACCGCAAGATGTCTTCGAGACCAGCTCAGCACGGACACCTCGAATTAGACCATGTTAAAGATGCTAGGCTGAGTCCAACTGCTGGAACAAAACGAGACACTAACATGAATGAAAATCTGGAATCCGAGCTAATGGTGCAATTAGAGTTGTTGAATCAAGAATGCCAAGAGAAGGAGGAGCTAATCTCCCGCCTGAGGGAACAGGTCCTGGAATGGGACGAGTTACAGGCAGAGCTACAGGAGAAGGACAAGCTCAACCGAGAGTACCTGGAAGCCTTACAAGCGGCAGAGTCTACTATTGCGTACCTCACCGCATGCAGCTTGGACTCGGAGTGTGGAATCGGTCAAACAGGAGATGTAACCTTGCAGCAACGTTGTGCAGATCTTCAGAAGGCTGTTGAGGAGAAAGACCGACTCAACGCTCAGCTCTTAGACTGCTTGAACTCTGCGGAATCCGCCATTGCATTGCTCCGAAATGTAAACACTGCAAGCAGCCAAATGGATCTTGGACAAGAAGACCCAAAAGCACTTTGTGAGAGGTTTGAGGACTTAATTGGACAGATCAGAATTTCTCAGCAAAGCGATGGCAGGTCAAAAGACTCTCACATCCCAGAGGTTGGTCCAACACTAGGACCTGATTCTGAGTTACAGCGGCAGGCAGATTCACTGCAGGAGTCGCTGTTGCAGCAGTGCAAAATGAATGCAGAGCTGCAGGAGAAGCTCTGGACTTCAGAAGCAGCTGTTAAAAAGTTAAGTGCAGCTGTCAGCGCCAAGCGCAACAGCGCACCCACTGGTCTGGAGGGGAATTACACTCCTGGACCAGAAGGAAAGGTCCTGTCATTGCAACAGTTGACGGACTGTCTGTCTGAGTGCATAAGAGCTGCTGAAGGTGCGGTCAAGTCTCTCGCAGACATTTGCTCCAAACCAAACCAGTCTCATGAGGAGATCTTGTCCAGTCCAGAGTTAAAGAAATGGCTAGACAGGCTGCAGCGTGCTCTGCTGGAGAGAGAGTCTCTGGAGGACCCAGTCTGCACTGAGAGGCACCAACAAAAGACAAGCACGCCCATTCAGAACACTGAGAGTTCTAAACCAGAACGGCAACAGAACGTTCAGGAGCCTGTGACCTCACACCAGAATCTTCATAAGAACTTCTTGATGCTTCTTCAGATTTATACTGAGCGTGCTCAGAAAATGAGCAAACTTGAGGAAGTTGTTAGTGGGCGTGGCCAAAGTGGAGGAGGTGGAGATGCACCTGGAAATGAAACTCTGGAGAAGAACGCTCGGATCGAAAGTTTGCAGATGGCCCTGAAGGAGAGGCAAAGGGCATGTCGGAAATTAGAGGAGAAACTGGCGATCGCTCAGTCTGTCATCGCTGTGCATGGCTCAAATAAGGAGAAACAGTCTGATCCGCGCAAAGGTGAAAAGAACACACATGCAATACACTCAATTGAGGGTAAACACTGCTCAAACTAGCTCTTTTTAATGCACTTTTAAGACACTTTTTTGTGTATGGCACATGTGATTGTACAATATTTCACCTCAGTATTTATGTCAGGGATTCAATTTTAATCTATAGAATCAGCTACATATTGGCATAAGGGTCAGGGACCTACGTACTTAACCTTGTAAATATCTTGAGTATCATATTTGATACGTCAGGCTTTTATGACTCGTATTGTATTATATTGTGAGAAAATGGAGCTCATACTTGTGACAATTCGAAGCAGATTATATTTATATGGTCAAAAAGATGAATTTCTGGTAGCTTGTAAATCAGTGTGATCTTTATAACAGTATAGCAGATACTTACATAAAATGATAAAAATATAACATGTCACTCTATACCTCCCAGTAATATGTCATAGTAAGATGTTTAAATGCTTTGTTTCATGATCAAAGCTCTGTAGTTTCAAAACATATAATGCTATGCAGTACAGTGATAATTGAAAGATGAACAAATAAACATTCCTCCAAAGCCTGATGGATCATATCTGATACATTTGAACATGATTTTCATCTCAAAATATTAATTACAATATAAAAAGTTATTCTTATGTTTACTTTATAAAAGTACTTTATATCAAGTTGCCCAATAGAGACCTGCATTAAGTGCCATTCAGATTTATTGCGGTACTACGACAAGCCTGTTGCTTGTTTTTCTGGTTGGGGCTACCGTTCTCAACCCTGCCTGTCTGCTCTAGCACCCCCTAGTGAACGGGATTATAAAGGGGTGCAAGTGGAGGCGCACGACCTCGGGTATGAAACGAGTGGAAGGAGTGAGACGGAGGTGGAGGGCAGTAGCACAGGTAGACGGGAAAAACACTTCTTTTTAATAAGTCTGCATGTGAGGGTTTCTGCATGGAAAGGCAGTTTCAGAATCTCTTATCTCCATTGATGATCCATGCAAACTGCTACTGACTGCATGATCATAATAAACAACGGTGTTACGCTTTGGGTAATTTAAGGGGATAGTTCACCCAGAATTGAAAATACTTCCATTAAATCATGCTGTTCCAAACTTGTATAACTTTTTACTCCACTTAACACCAAAGTTGAACAGAATGATGGTGCTGTTTTTTTTCCTGTGGGTAAAAATCACGAGGGAGCGTAAACAATTTTTGGGTGCACTTGTCCTTTAACATTGGTTATGTGTTTGTCAGCACATATTTGTGTGTGCTAAGTTTGTTTTAATCACTTCCACTGCATGACCAAACCATCCCTGATTTAATAATGTAACTAATGTGGCATCTTTGAGGACTGTAACCTCCTTCCACCATTGCTGTAATTAACTTAAATCCAACTTTTTATGTCTTTGTATGTGTGTTTTCTTTGTCCTCTGTGTGTTTGATGTCACTATTAGATATGGATGGTGTTTTGCGGTTGGTTCCCACTCTGTCTCCTGTCCTCACGGGCAATCAGGACCGATTTTCACCTGACACTACCGCATCCAGCCCCTCGTACCACAGCTCTCCTGGCCTGAGCTCCCCTCGACCCTCCGACCCTCACACCGACCCCACCCTGCACATCCAGCAGCTCAGGTCACAGATCGAAGGACAAAACAAAGTAATCCAGAACCTCCAGAGGCAGCTGCATAAGAAGTCTTTGTCGACTGAGCTCCTGAGTGTGACCTCTGAACCCACAGCAGGTGAAGAGGAGGAGGAAACAAAGATGATGATGGCTCAAATCGCCCAGCTGAGCACTGAGCTAGAAAGAGAGAGAACCCTGAACAGAAGCAGCCAAGCAGGCTCTCCCTCCAGGTAGCTTTCATCACCATCTTCATGATCATCATCAACAACGGTATCCTTCATCTTGTGGCTTTTTAGTGAAATGTCATCCTCTCTCTCTCTCTCTCGGCAGGATTGAGTCTCTGGTCCAGTCTCAGGCCCGGGAGTTGTGTGAGCTGCGGGAACAGATCCGTGTGTCTCGTGGTTTGGGTGTGGAACAGCGTAAACAGCTGCTGGAGCTCAGAAGAGCTCTAGAGGAGTTACTTCAGCCTAATAACATGCACTCTGCTCAGGGAACCCAGCTCAGAGAGCATCTGGATCACAGCCTGAGCCTGCTGGAGAAACTGGAGCAGGGTAAATATACACCAACACAGAGAAACCACTAATGAAGAATGGTAGCGATGGGAAACTTTGAAGCAGAGGCAGTAGTATTCCATTGTGAACATAGCCATAAATAAACTAAAATGTTGAAGTTTATGTATTTTCTGTTATCCTTTAGTTTCTACAGGAGGGTCTGGTATGGATAATGAAGAAGAAGCGGAGTCCGAGATGAAGCTCAGGTGAAAACAGCTTTCAGCTTCATATCGGCTAAGAGCGATGCACCGTGATCTCACAAATACTGAAATCTGTAAATCTGAAAGTATGTAATAGAGGAGAAATGGAATGGAACACCGCAATAGTATGATTGGTTACGCTGGTGTGAGTCTGTTGCTACTATTAGCCATTCATCCAGCTGGTGTTTGATGGCCTAGTCTTTGGCTTCCTCCCAACAGCGATTGTGAGTGGGTGTGGGAGGAGCTGCAGTACCTGCGCTCTCAGCTAGAGGGCGACAGAGAACAGCAGCAGCTACAGATGGTTTATTTGTGCAGGCAGAACCAGAATCTTGCCATTAGCACACAGCATTACATTGACCTGTGAGTGCTGCCTGCAAGGGCCTGTGTGCAGTGCAGCGTGTTTCATACCTCTACAATGGAAGTCTTTCTTAGGGTCATTTAGGTTTTGTTTTTATGTTGAATTTTCTCTTTGGGTGACAGTCTTTTATGCCCAGATTCAGGCTTCATCCCAATTCATATACTATCCATATTATATAGTATGAAAGATAATGATTAATGTCTCACAAATTACACTGCTACTTTTTTCCAAAATAAATGTATGAAAAAAAAAAAAAACATGAAAGAAATAAATGCTGTTCTTTTGAGCCTTATATTCAAAGAATCTTAAAAAAATGAAATGTTTCCACAGAAATATAAAGCAGCACAACTGCTTTCAACAGTGATAATAATACATGTTTTTTGGCAGCAAATCAGCATATTAGAATGATTTCTAAAGGATCATGTGACACTGAAGCCTGGAGTAATGATACTGAAAATTCAGCTTTGATCACAGGAATAAATTACATTTTACAGTATATTCAAATAGAAAAAAAACTTACTGTTTTGATTATATAAATCCAGCCTAGGTGAGCAGAAGAGACTTATTTAACAAACAAACAAAAAAATACTAACTGTTAAAACTTAAAGGAATAGTGATTTAAAGTATGCATCCATGTATGCTTTTTAGACTAATACAAGTATAGGATTTGGGATTTAGCCTTACTCTTTTACTTCCTAATTTCCCTGTTATCTTGTGTGTTGTTGTGGTATTGTTGATTTGTTTTATTGTGTCCCTCTGATAGTTTTGTTCTCTCTGTAATTGTTTGTGTGTGTTACAGACTCTCTGCAGAACTACAGGAGAAAGACCGGCTCATTCATTCTCTGCAACATCAACTGCGAATGCAAGTTCCCAGAATGCACCAGCACTCCGACTCCGAGATGAGTGACAGGCTGTCCAATGATGGCACCACCTCCTTCCACGACAGCCCTCCTGCTGTCCGCAGGCAGACCCCCAACAGACCTCACACAGGTAACACTCACCTCATCAGGTGTAAGTTGGTTTCTAAATGTGTCTGATTGTATCTCAGCTAACACATCAGAATGCTAAATTAGAACTGAACGTTCGTGAACATCCTTCCAATAAAGTTCTTCAATGTTTTATCAACCTGAAACGGACTCCTTGCTAATAGATGAATGTAATCTCAGTTCAAGGCGGAGCACCTTTTAAATCAAGCTGAATTATTTATCCAGTAAACCTTCACATGGGGCTCTTGTTGATTTGCCAGTGACCTCTTGACCTGGAGAGATATGCCGGTCAAATGAGTTTTGGTACTTAGTAACACTGAAGTCTTGTGCCATTTCTCACTGTCTCACAGTTTAAATGCTTATGTTATTTAATTCTATGTAAACTAACTGTCCAGTTCTGCATTTAAGTGATGCTGATGCCTTGTTGTCTTGAATAATAGGTTAGGTTTAAGTAACAGCGGTTTATGTTGTATTAGTATTATTTATGTACTGTTACATTATTTATTCATATTTTTAATTGGATTTATTGTTTTGTATTTTTGTCTTAGTAATTTTCTATGTATGTCTTTTTTATTGTTTGAAATATGTATTAAGATTGTTTTTATAACCAGTGTTATTTTAGTATTATTTAAACTCTTATATTTATGAATATTTTCAATTACCTTTTATTTTTTTACTTTCTGTTTTCATGTTAGTCATTTTTTTGTGCTTTTGTCTTTAAAATTTTTTATTAAGCTTATTTTTTTTGTTTTAGTAATTATAGTGACAGTGTTATTTTAGTAAACTCTTATAATATTTGTTAATATTTTACATTTTTTTAGTATTTATTTTAGTAATACAATTTTAGTAGTTTATTTTAGTATTTAAGTTTTTTTTATTTTAGTAATGTTATGTGCTTTTGTTGTTTTTATCATTTCTATTTAGGTTTTATTTATTTTAGTTTTATTGAGTAATTTTTGTAGTTATTTCAGTCCTTTGCCATAGCAAGTTTAATTTACATTTCTAATTTTAAGTTTTAAATTCTGATTGTTGGTGTGATGCATAATTATAATATTACTGCGAAACAGTTTTATGACATTGACATTTTTATTCATTTTTTGACATTGATTGTGTCTTTTGAGGTGTTTTAGTGAACCCATGTTTGCTGTCTTGATTAAATATGCATTTGTCTATTTTCGTTAATCTGTGGTCCTGTCAGCTTGAGTATTTGAGTCGTGTAGTGAAACGGCAGGAGCTGAGGCTGGTGTCCCCTTACTAGCCCTTACAGATGCATTATTCAGTATGCACTGTTGTCTCCTCTGCCCTCCTGAGAGCCGTTAAGAGCCCTGAGCCGGTGTGTTGATGATTTGTTAAGTGTTTAGTATCATGGAAATGGATAGATTTTGCTCTTCACTAAAAGCATCGGCACAAGATGCTGGATTAACTCTCACAGCACTACACTAGCAAACAGAAGGAATTTGTTACTCCTGATCTCTCTTCAGAACGACCTGGTTCAGGTTTCCCAGCATCTGGGACACAATAGATCAAGAGATTGGAGGTGTATTCAGTGAGCGCCTGATGGACTACACCATATTTGCAGGTTCTTTAGCCCTAACGCTCTTAGAGGCGAGAGTGTCTAATTTTAAGTGATGCTGAATTGTCGTTTAGACAGGATATATGTTTGTGAGAATGTTACAGCTGTGCTAAACTTTCTACTGGATTGAAACTATCCTGAGATCTGGCGTTATAGTGAGATCAGGACTAGGTTAACAGTAGCTCGGCTCTGGACATGAGTGAACAAATTGTGCTCTATAACGCCGTCTCTCGTAGCAGATGGAGAAAAGTGCTTAAAGCCTCCAAAGAGGAAGGTAAAAATCTAGCATTAATGTCCAGTTCTGCGTTTAAGTCCTGCTGATTCCTTGCTGTCTTGAATTATAGGTTAGGCTTAAGTAACAGAAGTTGATGTTTGTACCAGTGTTATTTTAGCACTATGTATGTACTATTTCAATATTTTGTGAACACACAAACTCGTACGCATTCATTTCATGTTTTCAGTGGTTTACAACGCTCTTCAGATCACTCAATATGTGAGTGTTTGTTTATGTGATCAACAGCCACCAACATCTTCATCGCTGGTTCTGAGGATCAGGCTCACATCAGCAGTGAACTTCACTTCCTCCTCGCCCAAAACCACACACTCAAAGAGCAGCTCAACCAGGGAGCACGAGGTAACATAGGCTCTATACTTTTAAAACTATTTTCTAGATGTGATCTGTTAGCTGTTGTCACAGTTGTGTGTTTTAAACAGATAAGCAGAAGGAGAACGACCGCCTGAGGGAGACTTTGGCCGCCGTGGCTCTAGATCTGAGAGCGGTTCAGCAGCGGATCTGAGCGAGCTGTTGGCTGAGATCAGACAGCTGCGTGTTCAGCTGGAGAGAAGCATCCAGATCAACACCACACTGAGACAGAGACTGGAACAACAGCTGCTGACCCACACCGACCCCAAATCAACCATCAACATCAACTACCTGCTGCCCAAAACAGGTACACACACACACACACACACACACAAAGTCTCTTTATTTGAGATGCATTAATTATTGGAGAGCAATTTTGTTAAAGCATTAATTCTGAGAGGTTACAGTGATATTTAAACCAATGTAACACAAATGAAAGATTCAAGAAAACAATCATTAAAACAAAAGACAAAAATTTATTTTTTCTGTTTCTTTTGTTTCATTTTTCATTCGTTCTCTTCCATTGTTTTTTCGCTCTTTCTGTTGTTCTGTCATTCTTTCAATCTATTTTTCATTTGTTTTTTCTTTTCCATTTTTTCTGTCATTCTTTTAAATTAATTTTTTGTTTTATTTCTTTCTGTGTGGTTTTGTTCTTTCTCTCTTTCTGTCATTCTTTCTTGTTTTGTTTTGTTTGTTTGGTGCGGTTCGCTTTCATACTACCCTTTTTGCAAGTGAACCAGAAATTGTAAACAAAACCATGCGTGTGCTAAGGTCATCCATTCAACCGTACCAGAGTTCATTTGGAAGCGGACCGAGACCACCTCTTCAGCTGGGTCTCGATGCGGTTGTTTGGTGCGCACCTGAGTGCGATTGCTGTATTCACACCTGCCCAAAAGATCCGCACTAAGAGGAGAAACTAATTTGAGTTTGATTCAATCGAACCTAACAAGACAGGTGTGAATACACCCATGACTTAAGACTAATAAAGGAAGGTAACTGACATTAAATGCATCATGAAATGTTCCTTTTTATTTGATAAAAATATAATAAAATGTGACCATCAATAAGTGTGAAATGTATTTATTTATGTGAAATAAAATACTTCTCAGGCAAATAAACTTCACTTAACTGTTGGTTTATAGGCAGAAAAAATCGCAATACAATGTTGTTTTGTATAATCAAGTTAATTTTTATCAATTTGATTATTTACTTATGTGAAATAAAACACATATTGTAATGTAATATAGTATACTAAATTAGATATAAGATGAAATAATTAAATACATCTTGACGTGTTCCTATCATTAAATAAAAATACAATAAATTGAGACCAGAAACAAGGTGTGACTAACATTTTATTCAAATTTATTTGTGAAGTAAAATACACCTTGAAATGTAATATAATAGATTAAATTAAATATATGACAATTAAGTCAAATAATAATTAAAAACATGCTAATGTGTTCCTATCGTTAATTTCACACTTTATTTATGGTCACATTTTATTTTATTTAAATAAATAAATAAAAACGAATTTTCCATTTTCATTTTATTTATGTGAAATAAAATATACCTAATAATGTAATAAAAATATAATAAAGTGTGACATTGATTACTTTTAATTACAATGAAGTTAAAATGTATTTGTTAAACAAAATACACCTAATTAAATACATTGTGGCGTGTTCTTACCATTAAATAAAAAATACTATAAAATGTGACTAACGGTGTGAAATTAATTTAATTGAATTAAAATAGAATTTAACATTTATTTCTGTGAAATAAAAATCACCTCCATTACAGTATTACAGTATATATGAAATATAGACTAAAAAAATCAGTGATGAAATGAATACATTGTGAAGCATTGCGACTGATACATAAAAATGAGAAATAAGAAATAAACCCTGATACCAACAAACCTCACAATAATTTACAATTCACACACAATCATTTCTAATTCAGTGATTATGTGAAACTCTGTTAGTAAAATCATTGCCAGCAGTACTGTGCTAACTGTGTGTGTGTGTGTGTGTGTCATCAGGAGCATCTGCTGAAGAGTGAGATCAGTCGTCTGAAGACTCGTCTGTCTCAGCAGGAGCGGATGTTGAGCAGAGCCGTCAAACACCTCAGATCCAGCAACCAGCTCAAAGAGGGCATGGAGCGCGTCATCATCGACCAGCGTAAGAGAGCAACACACACACACACACACTCACACTCATGCAGAGTCAACCAACACTGATGTGTGTGTCGTGTTTCTGCAGTGTCTCTGACTCACGGCGTGCTGAAGAAAGCCAGAGGAAACCTGGAGGTGCGTTTACCTTTGTGTTCTTTTACATGAGAGCAAACCAAACTCTGTTCATCCTGAGGGAAATGTATCGAGGCCTCCACAGAAATATGAAGCAGCACAACTGTTTTCTTGAGCAGCAAATCAGCATATTAGAATGATTTCTGAAGGATCATGTGACACTGAAGACTGGAGTAATGATGCTGAAAATTCAGCTGCGCATCACAGGAATAAAGTATTTACAATATAATCAAATTAAAAACACCTATTTTAAATTACAACAATATTTCACAGTTTTACTGTTTTTACTGTATTTTGATCAAATAAATGCAGACTTGGTGAGCAGAGGAGACTTCTTTCAAAAACATTTTTAAAAAAAGTTGCACATGATGGTCACAAGGAGGATGTGATGCAACTGCATGACATGGAATAAAAAAAATAAAATGCTTCCTAACTATTTTTTTGGATCCAAAGTATTCAAGCAGAGTTTTGATGGTAATTTTTGTCATTGTGCAATAAACCTTTTTTGGGGGGAATGTCGGAATTAGTTTATTATTTAATATACACTATAAAATAAATATAGTTTGTTTAATAATTTAAAATAAAAAATAATCATTCAAAAAGTGAATTGCATTTCGGTTCAATTGATTTACTTATTTAAAATAAAATAAAACTTGCAGTGTTATATAGTAGACTTTTAAGTATATTAAATAAATTGTGATGCAACTGAATGACAAATTAAATACTTGCAAACATATTTTTGGAACCAAAGTATTCAAGGAGAGTTTGATGGTGAATCCTGTTATTAACTCTTTTTTGGATGTCAGAATTAATTTATTGCCATATAAAAAAAACTAAAACATAATCACAAGACAATACTGTGGACTTAGTATGACATTTATTTTCTAACCATTTTTTTGGTCCTTTTTTTGGTTTGTTTTTTTGGCTACAACATAAAGTACCTCTAAAATATTTTTTTTATGTTCCGTTGTCTTGAACGTTTCTTTGTAAAGGACATTTATCTGTAGATATTTTACTTTTTTTTCTCTTTCCTGTCTTCATGATATTAATGCTCTGTCTTTCAGTCTAACTATCTGAATGTTTTTGGGCTGAAGGCTCTGCAGGTGGAAGGTTAGTTTAATGAAGGCTCGTGTGTTTGTGTGCTTTCAGAAGCAGATCTGTTTCTTTGCATGACGATCGCTGCATGTTCACTGCTCTCTTTCCTTTATTCAAATGTTTTTTTGCTTGCAGTTGTTTAAACCCCAGTGGCCCGTATGAAGAGTTTTACTCCATGTCTCTGCTGTGTTTGTCTGAAGGGGTTTTATTTCAGGCTTGAGATGCTCTGCATGGATTTGCTTGATTGTTTGGCTCCCGACACATCTCTGATTATGTTTCTGCAGGACGTCCCACTGAATGGCCAGTGACCAATCAGCAGTCGGGGGGCGTGGCCTGTCAGCAGCATTCAGGCAGAGGCTCAGTCTGCAGTGAAAACTCCTCCCACTGTGGCTGTTAGAAACTTCACTGACTCCAGGTCAGGACTGTTGAGTCCTTACATCATGGTTTTCTCTTTTAATTTGGGTTCTTAATTTATTTCTCTTTTTGAGGTACGCTGACACCGTTCAGAATTATTTGCACATATACAGTGAGCATTTAACCGTGTAAAAGGGAATGTTTTTTAATAGCGGAAGAGATTTTCTCCTGTAAATACTTTGAGCTTTAGTTTTATACTGGTTTTAGACAGTCTCATGTTAACTGCCGGTCTCCTGTGATGCTGTATTATCCTGCTTAAGATCTAATATTTTGATGTAAATGAATGGTACATGTACATTTAATGAGCGCATGGTTTAATGTAGCAGACTGTGTTTAAAGTAAATGTTTAAACCCTCATAAAACAGTCTCTCTGCTTTCATGGTAAACCGGTTTGAATTAGGCTGGACTAATCAGCATTAGATTTTATTCAACTACTCAACCTTTACAGCAAGACTTAAGATATTTATATTGGCAACATGAGTGGTGAAACTTTAAAAATCTTATTTTGGAGGTTGAATGAATAAGAAACCTTATAAATTTCATTTACATACGATTTAAGTCTTTTATTAGTAAGCCTATTAAATTTGTCTATGAAAATTTTTTTATTGGACATTTTAATGGAATAAACAAATCAAGGCTGAATGTGACTGATCCATTTCTACAATGACATCTATGATATCACAGCACTAAATTTACTGTATAATAAATTACACATTTAACCAAAACAAAACATCTATAGAATATAAAATACATTAGCTAGCCTCATGAATGCAAATTGTTTTTATTAAACAATCAGGTTTGTATACATTTATAAATGGGTCAAAGAGAAAAAGGGTTTAAGCATAAAAACAAGTATAATACTGCTTTAAATTTTGTTTTTCAGGGCAAAAAAATAAATATACATTTTTCAGATTTCCAGAAGACACCCACTAAAATGTCATTGTGTAACAATCTTGTCAGGCATATTTACAACAAAAATCATTTTATGACACTTTCACCCCAAATACTAAGTTGTAATTTTACATTTTTTAAATTTGCCACTCTCCTAGGTTTTGCCCATTTGTCAGTAAGAATTTTTTACTCATTTAAAACACAAAATTGAATATGCTCCCTTTTATATATTTTAATATGTACACTTCAGAATAAGCATGTTTGAATTTTTACATAAATATTGTTACACTGAATGAAATGTAGCATTATTTGAACATTTTATTCTCCAAAAACTTATTTTAAACCTTAAAAGTAGACACTTTACTTACATTTAATGTGTTTTATGGACATTTTTGTACATTTCTTTTGATGTGGACATCATAACGTCTTTGACCCAACTACACTATTGCTTACTATTACTTGTGCATGTTTGTTTTGTAAAGTTTATACATTTTGAAACATTAAAATGTATTTGTAGACATTAACGTAGACGGTCAAAACAATGTAGATTAAAGTTTTGTTTATTGTTAGGTATATAATTAATGCTAATGCATGACTATAAGCAGAGAACCTTAGCATTTAAAATAATATAAGCACATCAGCACATTTAAAATAATTTTAGTGACATTAACATTTATATATATAATATATATATATCTTCAGAAACAAAATAAGGTTTTATGCATATAAAAATAGAAATTAGAGAACAGAACTAATAAATATTTTGTTTTTGTTTTCAAACAGTTAATATAAAAATGTAAACGTCACAAAAAGAATTGCAATTCTAAAAATTAAATGTTACCGATATTTAATTATTTTCTAGCACAAGTGTTAGTGTCCATTCAAAAAGTTGCACCGTGTTCAGCTTTACTCCCTTTCAGTTTATTATGGTTATAAGACAAATATATGGCAACTGGGACAGAAAGTTTTCATACAAAACAGCTATGGCATACAATCATGACAGACATCTGTAACATGTTTTAATTATATACATGTAACTACAAAAACATTTCAATGTTTGACAGTTTTTATCAGCTGCTGTAGGGCCGTCTGTATTTTTATGAGGAAAAAAAGGTAACTGCTTTTAAATAGAAAAGGCCCTGTGTGCAGTCCAGGACCCGCGATGAGCTTTGGCACCAAACGGCTCACCGAAGTCGAAGCCAGAATCACTGAAACAGATTCACTCTGCTGGAGTTTCCCTTTGAGTGCGATTCAGATCTCTAAATCAGCGTTTAGTATGGAGCTCTGATCAGAGCGGGATGTGTGCGTCTAGCGCTGGACGTGCCGGATGAAGGCTTGGACCAGCTGAATGAAGGGCTCCTGGCCCTCCGGCGTGGCCTTGGATCCTGGTGTGGGTGGTTTGGTTTGCGCTGAGGGAAGCAGCCCGCTGGCTGGGGAGGAAGGGGAGCCTCGCCGGAAAAAACGGAATAATGTCGACAACAACGTACTCTGAAAGAAAACATTTGGGTGAATCAAGCAAATGTCAAAAAACTGGTTAAGGTCATATTTCACCCCAAAATCAAAAGATATACAAATCTAATTTCATATTTATCATGGTCTTACTGAAATAAAATAAAAAAACTACAAAAAAAGTACATAAATCAATCAACCAATTAATAAAAAAAGGAATCTGTGGAACACCATCCAGAGAGGATGATTATAGTTCTGCAGTAATTATAAAAATGTTGATAAAGCAAATAAATGTCAGTAAATAAAAATATAATTTATCTGGAATCTGTTGAAACAAACACTTTCCAGACAGGATGATTATAGTCTTACAGTAATAAAAAAAAATCACAAAACATCAAAAAAAAAAATATATATATAATCAAATAAAATATTAAAATACAATAAAGGAATCTGTGGAAAAAACAGTGCACACAGGATGATTTAGGTCTTACAAGTAATGAAAATAAGTCACAAAACTTAAAAAATATGTAGATAATTAAATGAATAAATAAAAAATAGAAAAAAAAAATTGATTTGAGGTCAAATAATTAATTTCATGATTGGCAATAAAGTTTGGCAAACAAGATTTATTGAAATAATTGAATATATCTTAAGCCCAATGAAGGACTCACCAGCTCTGAGCTGAGCTCCTGTTTGAGTCTCTGTTTGTCTCTGGGCAAAACTGAAGGATCCTTCAGACAGCGAACAGCCTGAGAGATCAACACATAGAAGCAGTTCTCCATCGAGAACATCAGCAAAGACCTGAAACCACAGAGAAAGAGCATGAGACGACCTCGAGCTCAAACCCACACCGCACTGTAAACATCACAGGAGTGTTTCTGCTCACTTCAGTGCTTGAGTGTCCTCAGAGACCACCACCGGCTCCTTCCTCTTCTCAATCTACAAACAACACCACAATCAGCACAGAAACAAACAACATTCATTACACCAGAAGAGCTGAAAGCGCTGCACTACCTCTCCCAGCATGCTCAGCGCCACATTAATGGTGGCCATGAGAGTCCCAAACGACGGAGCCACATCAGAGTCAAAGGCAGGAGTGGTGAAACTCAACACAAACAGCGTCCTGTACTCCGCAAGGTCCATCGACTAAACACACACAGAAAAACGTGTGATTTAACGCTCCAGCCGTGAATGGCGAGTGTTTATATTGTGTGGATGTGTGTACCTGGTCCAGCAGTATCTGACAGCAGTCGGGTGTGAAGTGCTGTAACGTGGCCAGAGTTTTGCTGAGGATCTTTAACAGGCTGCACTGAACCGCCTGCAGCGCTTTAGACTCCGCCTCCTCCTGCTCTTTGGAGGCGGGCTGTACGGCATGCTGGGGGTGTGGCCCTGGTGGAAGCCCCTCCCCATTCTTGGCCTGAGCAAACAGACTCGCATAATAAATCAACCACATACAGCACTGACAAACTGAAGATGGGTCAGAGCGTCACGTCTCATACCTGCAGGTAATGATGCAGCATTTTCTTGCTGTGCAGGAGGTACGTACACGTCTGACACAGATAGCACAGATTCACCTGAAACACACAAACATTAACTTCTGAACCCTTTAGACAAAATCTCAGGGGAGACTTCAAGTAAATATTTTAAGTAGGGCTGTCAGGTTTAGTTATGAAAAAAATGACACAATTAAAATATTTTAACGCAGTTAATGCACTGGCCCCGCCCCCAGACCTGTCATCTTACATTTCATACAGCTGACTGTTGACAAATATGATGCAGGGCAACAACTCCACAAGTGCAGTTATGCCCTAAAATTCAAGATATTGGGGCAAAAATGCTCCTGTATGAGTTTTGGTCTCATATTTATATCACATAAGCGATATCACACGAGCAGTGAGAGCAGCATCACACAAATGCTGTTTGTCCCGAATATAACAAGTGCAAATGTGATTTTATATAACAGTTCAGTAAATAAGAAGTTACTATGTTACATTTTTAACTGTTTTTGCTCAGTTTTGCCAACAAAAATATTACCTAAAAAAGCCGCAGCAGAACTGCAGTGCGTCTTCGAGCAACACAGCGGTGTTTAGTTTCTAAATGAATCTGTTTTGAACGAATCTGGTGAATCAATGATTCAAAGGCCCATTCATCAGGTTTGTGTAATAAATATTATGTTGAATCAAATAAAATATTTCTTTCTAAAGCTACTCTTTGTAATGTCTACTTAATACTTTCTCATTTAACTCATTAAATAATCTTTTGGAGGTATTTTCATAGCCAAATGTAATTTGCGATTAATTAGACTAATTAATCAACATCATGTAATTAATTAGATTAAATATTTTAATCGACTGACAGTCCTAATTTTAAGTCAATATTCAAATTAATTCATAGTTCATAGTATTTTATATATAAACTAACTCTACAAGTTACAATACAAATACTTGTCTTAAATGATTAACTTCTGAAATAATTGTAGAGGAAAGAAGCAGAAGTGCTGGAGTGTACCTGGACGTCTCTGAGCAGCTGCGGCAGGTGGAAGTGCCACTCTTTGCAGAAGTTGGAGAGCTGGAGCAGGAAGCCCACCGTGTGATCGGCCTCATCCAGACACGCCAGAGACTGAACCGTCCTCACCGCGTTCAGACACTACATACAACACACAACATCCTCAGTGAGCCGTCATACACTCACACCAGAACAGAACGGAAAAACTGGAACAATGTCAACAACATCATCAAAGAAAACTGAAAGAAAATGAGAAAGATGGAATGGAAAGATATATTTTGAGTGAATGCCAAAACAAAAAAAAAAGTAGGTTATCTCACCTCAAAATCAAAAGAATATATATTTTGCATATAACTGTAGGACCTAGGGCTGCACAATTATGGACGCCACAATTATGTAATCATTCAGAGTGGCAATTAATCATTCAAAGTCCACTGATGTTATTCAGCATGCTTAAGATGCGTTTTTTGCTTTCTACATGTTATCTTAAGGGTTTTTCCCCATTATTTTAATTTAAGTTTTAGTATAACATTATAATACCATTCATATTTTTACTTTTTTAATATAATTTAAAGAAACCAATCCGATGTATATTTGACATTTGAGGCTTAATACTATAGAAAAGCACTAAAGGTTTTTCAGTTAGTGTTTTCAGCTTGTTTATTTTCATATAAAAATACGGCATGCAGTTGCATCAAACTATGGTATAAATATCATTCAATGTAAATTGTGATAATCGCAATTACAATTTCAAGGGAATAATCAATAATTATGATTTTTGTCATAATCGTGCAGCCCTAGTAGGACCTTTATCATTTTTTTTACCAATGACAATAATTATAATTAAGTATATTAAAAGTATTTAAATTATAGCACTTCTTGTAATGCTTTTAAATTGTGCTTATAAAATCCACTGCAACCAGACAGGATCGTTACTATATTAAAAATGAAAATCACTATTAAGGATGAAAACTACAAAAATAAAAAAAAATAAAAGTAAAATATATAGAAAAATAAAAAATAAAGTTAAACTGGCTGAATTACAATAGACATTTAGGAAACGAAAGAAAATAAATAAATTTCTATATATAATCAATATAAACATAGGCATAAAAACACACCTGCAGAATGCGCTCCTGGTGCACGCCAACAAAGTCGAGCGCTTCATTAATGAAGTTGTAACGGAGAGTTTTCAGCAGACTTTCCATCAGAGACAGACTCAGTCTGTACACACCCGTCCAGCTGGGGGCGTCCTGAGACTTCCGCACAAACGCCTGACAGAGATAACAGCTGCGCTCATACAGGGTAGTGGCTAGAAGGGATACAGCTAAAACCAGAAGCTAACAATAAATTTAATTTTCTACCTATTAGATTGTGTTTTATTAACGTCTACACCTACCCCTCACAACAGTGGTTCTCAACCCGCGGCCCGTCACAAATTCAAATGCGGCCCACCATGCTGAACACAATAAAAAAAAATCACTTTCAGTTTTACATTTACATTTTAGTTTTTACATTAATTAAAAAATGTACTAAACAAATATAAGCTATAATGTTTTTATGTAAAATAATTTCGTTTTTCATGTTATTTTCAGACATGAGCAGACCTGTACTCACGTAATTAACGTTACGCATTTAACAAACACTTACAAGCGTGCACTTTGGCAGAATTCAATTCAAATAGTCATCAGTAGCCATTAGTTCGGTAAAATTGAGCATCAGAATGGACAAATTTTTTATTAAGGGAGAAAAACGGAATGTGGAAAATGCCAGCGAAGGAACACGTACAAACAAGAATAGTCGCAGTATCAGCAGTGAAGGTAGCAGAGTGCTGGACTTTCGGTTTGCCCCGCCACACACTTGATGATGTTCAGGCAAAAGAAAACACCCATACTACGCAGCAATCATCCTTAACTGCAGAAATGTGGCAAAACATCTCTGGAGAGAACCTCAGATTATTCAATTCGAAAGTGCTTTCCATACTTGGATCAACATAGGCTACATTTGTGGACGTACATTTTCTGCAATGTCGCGCCTCAAGTCTTATAGACTGCAACTTACAATCACAACTTCATTGTGCCGTTACTCCTTTCGAGCCGAATTTCACAAAATTGGTCAGCTCCCGACAGCATCAGGGGTGTTTTATTAATGGGGAGTAGAATTATTTATTTATTTCAATTAATGTAATCGATTAGATATCATAATATTTAGGCTATAATATTATAAATCTGGTTGGTTTGTATTGGTGACGTAATATGTAAATGATATGCGTGCGGCCCATCATGAGTCTTGCACTTGGACCATAGTGTGGCCCAGCGGGGAAAAAAGGTCGAGAACCACTGCCTTACAATAATGCAAAAACAGTAATTATTGTTGTACAGTGTGACAAAAATGACGCTACATTGACGTGCGCATGCCCAGTAGACGAAACTGTATACCATCTATAGCCTTAACCATCATACAAAGTCTCTGAACCTCCTCAGGAAAAAAATGTAATAAATTAGGATGCTGTAGTTGTAAGGCAGTACCTGCGTGGCTCCGTTAGCTGGACCCTCATACACACTGAGGAGAGGAAGACAGATGCTCTGAATCACTCCAGCACCTGCCACTGCTGCTGCCCCCTACAGGAACATGACAAACATTTTAGTCAATCACTTTGATCATATATCTTTGAGTAGTTTATTTCATTTTTGAGTCATGACTTGATGTTAAAGTCCTAGTGTGTGATACTTGTTCATTTTTGGAGTGAAATACATATTTAATGTCGTTTATGATTTTAACATGTCACCCATATCACAGTCAAATCTCTTCCAAGTTTCACATACACTTTGCATTAAAATCAGTGGTTCATAACCTTTTTGACTCTATTCATATGGATTTGTTTTGCAAGGCCTTTATATTCTGCTAAGTTTTGGCTACCTGGACTTTCAATGAAGGGACAGAAACCTCCCAGGTTTCATAAAAATATTTTCATATTTTCAAGTCTTATAGATTTAGAAAGACATGAGGAAGAGTAAATAATGACAATTTCCATTTTTAGGTGAACAAGGCCTTTTAGGATAAGAATTTTGTAACATTTTTTTCTCACAGTTCAGTTACTACCTGAAAATTGAAAAAAAAAAAAAAAAAGTATATTCATAAAATATACAACTATCAATAGAGTTTTGATCAATTTACATGACTTTTCCATGTCTAGAAATCACACTTTTATAATTATACTACCTTACATATCCAAGATTTCTATATCCTGGTGAATATTGTTGGCTTTTGTTCCTCTTTTGTAAACTGCTTTGGATAAATGTTTCTAAAGCTGCTGTGTGTACCTGCGGTGTTCTTGCGAGTGTGAGCAGCAGATGAAGCGCTGCCTCAGTGAAGTAAAGGTTCTGTTTGGATCGCATACTGAGTTCTAGAGCGCTCAGAACCGACGGCAGAACTGGCAGCTTCCTGACCACCTGCAGCCACTGCTCACCATCCTCGTCAGCCCGACACAACTCTTTAGAGAGATGAAGAGCTAACACACACACCTGAGACAGAGAGAGATATACTGGTTATGATCTAAATGGAATAACTGCATACTGTATATACTGCACAATATACTGCCTATAAAATGTATGTGAACAGCAGGAACCAAAAAAAAAAAAAAACTCAAAATTTTAATTTTTGGTCCTTGCAATTCTGAGATACAAAATCGAAAAAAAAATTTTGAGACAAATACCTTTTTTTTTGTTTTTTCTTCTATGGAGAAAAAAGAAAAAAAAAGAAGATATAAACTCAGTTTTTTTTCACATCTTGGAATTCTGAGTTTACTTAATGGAATTCTGAATTTTTTTCTCTTAAAGGTGCCATAGAATGGAAAACTGTGTTTACCTTGGCATAGTTGAATAATAAGAGTTCTGTACATGGAAATGACATACCGTGAGCCTCAAACACCATTGTTTCCACGTTCTTATGTAAATCTCGTGCGTGCAAAAGACCAGTGAAAAAGAGGCAAATCCCAACATAACACCGACTGTGACGTTACAGTCAGGATCATTAATGTTGACACCCCCAACATTTGCATAACGTATACCAGCCCATGTTCTAGGCCAGCCGGACCTGCACAGCCCGAATCATCGATGCAGTGTTGCCAATAGGGCTGCCACTAACGACTATTTTTATTTCGATTAATCTATCGATTAATCTAAACGATTAATTTCCCAGACAAAAAAATCAACAATTTTACTTCAGAATATTTTATTCAACTATATTTCATTAAACCAAATGAAATCCAAAAGTAAAAAAGTGCAACTGTAAAACTCGATTAATTAGACAGGCTTTTTGATTAGAAAGATAGAAAAATAAAAATGGAAAAAACTGAATTTGGAAATAAAACAGATTTCATAGTGCCCTATAATTATAATAAATTTTTTTGTGGTAATAAAAATAGATGTAAGTGAACAATAGCCTTTAAAATTACTTAAAATACATATATAATAGCAATGAGGCAATAATAATTAGTTCAAATAAAGTATCAAAAGCAAGAAATCCTTTGGTTTTATTGAACAAAATTGTTAAAATACATAATTTATTATAAACAATAGAGCTAATGTACATTACGCATTACAACAAAGGCCTGCAGGGGGTGCCAACGGCCTAACAATTGTTTTTACACATTACTGTGTGATTCAATCCTTGTTTAATATTGACCAAGCACCATTTAATTCAAATGTCCACTTAATCTTTAATATTTGGCCATTTCTTTAGGACACAATTATGCTTAATTATGATTTTTAAATGGGTTTAATATATCATGCAGCCTTGGAAAACAGACTAATAATGCGTTTTATACATTCTCGTCTGTGAAATGCGCCACTTCCAGTATTTTGCCGGTTAATCGACGCAAGCAAAACGAAGCAGAGGATTTTAAAAAATCGAATAGTCTAATAAAATCTACGAATCGCGACAGCCGTAGTTGCCAGATTTTGCTAATAAAACAAACAAAAACCAATAAATAAATAAAAATAAACTGAAATGATTTAAAATCTTTTGCAATTATGATAAGATAAAGATATCGCTGACCCCCAACGTCCTACTTGATTAACTTTCTAAAGTGTCAAAAAAAGTGGAAAAGACAAGTCCAAAAACGCTTATAACAGCTGGATCTGGCAACACAGAGGCTGTGTCCGTGCCCTCACTCACAACTCTCTCTCAAGCCTCGTTCACTCGGCCAGTGTATCGCAGCGATCATGTTCATACCACGGATGCTAAACATTCTTGCAAAATCTCTCAAAATCTGTATCTTCGTCTAATACAGGCTCAAACATATAAGGTTGGATGCCTAATCTCTCCATCATTCACGCTGGACAGTAGAGATCTGTTTGCTGTGGGAGCTACTGAAATGAGCCACGCTGTGAAACAGCCAATCAGAGCAGAGCTCAACATTATTATTCATGACCCTTCCAAATAAGGTAATAACAGACCATTTTATTCTAGGGACAAATCCTAGGGTTGTAAATGGACATGTAAAACAGTTTCTGGATAATTTTTGCCCTTACCGAATTTGTTTTTATTCCACTGCAGAAACAAGTTTCCATATTGTTGTCAAATGACCACAATTTTAATCAACTTTTAATAGTTAATATCAGGTCAAGTGCAGTTAGGGCTGTGCAAAAAATCGAATGCGATTCATTGCCGATTTTGAACGCGATTTTGTGTAGCTCAGTGAACTACGGCTCTGTGTAGTAAATGCCGCTAATCACAGGAGCGGCTTTACTGACGAGATGCGCATGAAAATCGCATTCGATTTTTTGCACAGCCCTAAGTGCAGTACATCATGGGATAGCATATATACATTCTGTGTAGGGCTGCACGATATATCGCATGCAATATTTAACGCGCATCTTGTCAGTAAAGCCGGCTCTTTAATCAGCGGTAAATCTCCATCACCTGTGGGCTCATATATGAACCACGATCATATTTTGCGCAGCTTGTCGGTGAACAACGGCTCTGTGTAGTTAATGCTGCTCCGTGTGAAAACCCGCACGTGATGGAGATTTACCACTGATTACAGAATGGCTTTACTGACAAGATTCGCATTAAATATCGCATGCGATTTATTGTGCAGCCCTAATTCTGTGTACATTATACATACAAACACACACTCACTGAGTCTTGCTGGTCTTTCTGTATGTGTGGGCTGTCTGTCTCCATGCCGTCCTCCTGAACGTCACCTCTCTGTATCGTGTGACGTGTGCTGTCAATCAACGTCAGGGCCTCGTCCTGAACCATCTCACACACACACAACAGCAGCTGGGGAAGCTGGGTAATATCTCCTCCTGAACCAGTAAATGTTAAAGAATTGTTAAAACGGAACAAACAATATGCACACAGTTGGTGTAATGTGTTATCCCCAAACAAACATGCAGACTGACCGTTGAGTCCTTGTATCTGCAGGGCTAAGATGAGAGCTGACAGGAGTTTGGCTTTAGTTCGGTCCGTGAGCTGTTGTTCAGCATGTAGAACGCTTTCCATCATCAGAGACAGGGGCGGCAGTAGAGCTGGGGCGGACACCAACACACTGACACAAACCACATCAGCAATATTACTTAACATGCTCTTTTGAAGAGTTTTGAATATTATATAGACACTACTAACATTCAAAACACCCTTCCCAGTTCATCGTGACCTTTTAGTTAATTGTTTTTGTAGCTTATCTTCAGTAAACATTTGTTTAAAATTATATTAAAACGACAAGAACACAACAAAAACTTTAAAATCAAATAGAAATAGGAAATTATTTGTGTGTGTGTGTGTTTAAAATAGCATGATACTAAAATAACATGGGTGTAAATGTGGGCATGTTTTAAATTTTTTTATTAATTTTTCTTTTTGTATTTTCCCTTTTTATTTTAAATTAATAAATTTTTGTGTTTTTTATTAGTTACTATTTTTTATGTCTGTCAGTATAGTTCTTATTATTTTCATTTCAGTTTTAATTTGAGTTATTTGAGTACATCAAGTTAAACTACATGAAAATTATACGTTGCTTTGGAAACTAGCTGTCATAAAATAAGTTATAAAGTTGTTTTTTTATATATATATATATATATTTCATTTCAGTTAACATTTATTTTAAGTAACAATTTAATTTTTTTTATGGTTTCAGTTTTAGTTTAGTATAATAACCTTGACGTTTCTATTCATTTCTATTTCAGAGACGTTTCTATTTATTTCAGACGTGAAGCTGAGCCAATCATTTACAAAAACACCCACCTTTTCCACTGTTTGAGGAGGATGAGGAGCAGCGTGACCATCATGGATCCCAGATGCAGACAGAAAACAGACTGAGACATCAGCAGCTGAGAAAGAGAGAAAGATAGAAGTTTGAGGTTTTTGTACCAATGTATCATAATCGTGTTTGTAACATAGCAATACAAAAAAAAGTCAAATTTTCTTCAAGCAGTAAGATCAGGATTTAAGATAACTGTAATATATAGTCATGGGTGCTCATATGTATAAGGTAACTTACCGCTGCTTTGGTCCCTTCCAACACGTCCATGAAAAGCTTCTGCCTGACAGTGTCATCCTTCAGATGCATTACCTCAGACTACAAACACACGAGACAGGTTATGATAAACACCAGCAGTATAAACGTGAGATGTGTGAAGTTGAGTGTAGCTGCTCACATGACTGGTGGAGAGTATTAAGAGCGTCCTCCAGGCGGATATGAGCATCTGAGACTCGGAAAGAGAGCGCAAACCCTCCTCTTCACCGTCACAGGCCACACACACTAGATCACGCACGTAATCCGACCAGAAATCGTAGCGGCGCTTAGTGCTGAAACTCTCCAGAGCCGCTTTCAGAGATGGATCCAACACACCACTGAGAGACACATACAGACAGACAACTGTGAATCTGTATTGGTGGTTGGCAAATAGAAAACAAAACACTTCTTTTACTAATTATTTTATCAATTTTGAAGCAGCTGTTACAGTATAAGCCGTTTTTGAATGGAACAGCATATCCTGTGAGTATGGCCTCTTACACGCTTGTGTAGATCATACCTGACAACATAGTAGATCTCAAGGGCGATTATCTTCATCACAAAGGCACAAGACTCCAGAACACACGGCTACATAAAAAGAAACAATCAAACAAGAAATAAAATACTTTGGGAACATTTTTGTCTTTAAGTTATTACCATTTATGTACACATACCTCTGTGGTCTCAGACGGGGGAGGTAAGTTTCCAAATAAAGGAGTTGTTAAGTTATCCCAGAATTTTTCTCTGTAACGATAAAAGATCACATGGTTAGTTTAATGCTTAATTACAACCAACCAAACGATAATGACTAACCTTGACTAAAGTGGACATGCATGCTACAAAAGTGTAGAACATGGCCCCTACAGCAGTGATTCTCAACAAGGGCATTGAATTAATAAAATTAATAACTTATTATTATTAATATTTTAAATACAAATGCTTAAAAACAAATAATAAAATTATAAAAATAAAATAACAGAAATTACATTCTTATATTTCTATTTTAAAAAACCCCACATAGTTTTTGAAACTATTACAAAATTAACAGTGGCTGGTTAATTTAATATATTAATATTAGATTCTTTATAAAAATGTTTGAAAACAGCAGCTTCATCATAATTATGACAGAATTATTAGAATTTGCATTTATCAGGAAGCCTCTGAATAATGGGTTGGACAACAGGGACCTTTGAGCAAAAAAGCCTGAGAAGCACTGCCCAACTGCGTCATGTGTGAGGGACTCACTTGGTCCTGAGCACCGAGAGCGCGCTGTCCCGTCTGTCCTGCCAGAGTGCGTGGAGGAAGGCCAGTGCCGCCCTGTGCAGGAGTGGAGGACACCAGTACTTCCCCTGCTGCTTAGAGTCCAACAACTCCAACACCACTGACAAACAGCTCCACTCTCCCAGAGAAAACTCCTACAAACCAAACGGTCACACACTGCTCTGAATCATTCACCATCGCACACTAACTCTTATGAGCATTTCCGTGACCTCTGACCTTTGCCCCGTCGCTGCCGTCTTTGGTCTCCAGGTTGAGGAAGAGCTCAATGAGTCCAGGTTGTGTTTCCACAGCCACGGTGAGGAACTCCAGTATGGTGACTTTAATACGCATGTCTTCAGTTCTGCTCTGTAGTCGCGTCAGAAACGCATCTCTGATCGCAGCGGCATCACTGCCCAGACAAGCGTACACAGACATGGGAGCCACCTGAACATAGCACACACAATACACATTTCTTGTATCATGGTGGGACTTCTACTGTTATTAAATTAACTATAACATAATTACCATAAAAATGTCATCACTATAAGACATCAACCAAGATATTTAATGACTGATACTGTTTATATTGAACAGTGAAAGACAAAATAAATAAATATAGTGTTATTTATATACTTTAGAATATTTATTAATAGTTTGAATTTGTTTTTATTTTTTCAAGTTTTAGTAATTTTGTTGTGCTTTTGACATTTTTTATATTTCTATTTAGCTTTTATTTTTATTTCAGCTTTATTTTTTTTGTTTGTTTTAGTAATGATTACTAGTAATAATTTTTTTAGTAATGAATATATTGAACAGTTTAAGTATTAAATAAAACCAATGGTCAAACCCATTATTGGATTCTCTCTACTATAAATGTATTCAAACTAGTATTATTTTAGTATTATTTTTATACATTATAGTATTTATTAATATTTTAATTCTCTTATTTTTATACTTTCAGTAAGTTTTAGTAAATTTGTTGTGAAATATTTTCAATATTTTTTAGCTTTAGTAACGATTAAAAATTTTTTTTTTAGCAGTGATTATATTGAACAGTTGGAGTATTAAAATCGATAGTCAAATTAAAGTACAATTAAAGTATATCTTAATATTTATTTTATTTATTTATTTTTTTAAGTAATTTTATGTGCTTGTAATTTTTATTAATTTCGGTTATACATTTTTTTTCTTCATCTAATATTTTTATTTACAATTCATTCCAATTAACAAAAATGTTAACATTTTTAACAGTTTTAGTTAACAATAACAACACTCACTCAAACCCCAAAGTTCAGGCATTTTACATGTAAAACTACATTATTTAGTCCCTTTATAAAGCTGTTTTCCACATGAAGACCACAACAACGTGTCCAGCATTACCGTGGCGAGTCTCTTCAGCAGCTGTATAGCAAGTCGTGGCAGCGCTGGGTCGTGCTTGTGGTAGATATACTTTGCCAGCACAGCGATCAGGTTGTTGCCATGACCACCTGCAAGAAAAGAAAAAAAAAAACACTTGCATGATCACTAGATATGACAAATCTATGGGAAAGGTTAAGTATTTATTATAGTAAGCAATCCCTGACAGAACAGTCTAATATTTCACATCTACCATGCGCTTAAGTGTGTGTACTAACCGTGCTGTGTCAGCGCTTGCTCCAGTGGTGAGGCCGTATCAGACTGCGGTTTGAGTCGGATCACATTGTTGGTGACTGAGAAAGCCAACTTCACAGTCTGGATCAGAACCTGACCAGGTCCCTCAGACCCACCACTGCAGACAGACACACAAATTCAAACCCACTGACTCGTGTAAAGAGGATGAGGAGACTGAATCCATATTAAAAGCTCAATCGCGTACCTGCTGGGCTGTGCTGCGAGCACCATGTTGATAGTGTCCACTCCCACACCCATGATGTTAACCACCGCCTGTCCTGCCTCTGTGTTGGCCAGACTGTAGATACACAACGACTGCAGACTGGGGGCGCTGCAGAGGTCACACATCAAGTATGTGAGAACCAAACGAAGACCACATGAAATAAATGACAATGAAATATCATCTGCATCCTCTTACCTGCCCTCTGACTCCCCCTCCTGACTCAGATTAAGAATAGCATGAACCAGCTCTAGAATCAAGCAACCTGACAGAGAACAGTGAGTAGAGAGTGTGTTAAGCAAATACTAGTAAATTTAAGAGAAACTGAGAATTTCAGATAATAATGCTGTGCGAGTTGCTCACCGATCCTCTCTCGCACGCCATAGGTGTTGTAGCGCCATTTATGGTATGCAGGCAGCATTTCTTTCAGAACCAGCAGCACACATGGGATGAGTCCTCTGCTCTGAGTACTGCCCAACTGACCCTGAAAACACACACACACACTCAAATTACTTAATATCCACCAATGTAGTAAGGCTGCATGACTTGGTGGGAGAAAAAAATTGAATTGCAATAAAAAAAAAATGTCCAGGTTTGTTGTGCTTATTTGTGGGGCTGCCAAATTTGGCCAAAAATGTTATATTATTTTTACTAAATAAAATAAACCAAAATATTACAGTTGTAACATTGTTATAAAATAAAAAATACAGAAGAAAAAAAAAAGTCTGATAAAAAAAATTTATATATTACATTAAATATTACTATTAGTTTTTCTATTGTATATATAAATTATTTATGTAATGATGTATTATTAAATAATAATTATTATTATTACTATTTAGAGTACAAATTAAATTAAATGAATTACAATAATAATATTTATGGCTGTCTTAATTCATTTTCAAACATTAAACTGAGACACTAAAACAGCTGATCATGAGCTGCTCGTGTGTAAAACAGTGCCACACTTTACTCTGAAACATGCAGTCATAAATTTATTTAATTGCAGCCTTTGCAAGCAATTTGATAATCATGCAAGCAACATTGTGAATTTGGTTTCATTTCAATTAATCATGCAGCCTTACAATGTAGTCTGTGCATTGTAGTGATACGTGGTTAGCTAATACTTGGTCATTTTGACATGATTGGTCATAACGGATGATACATGCATTAATGCATTACCTTGACGAGTGTGGTCACTAATCTTAAAAAGGCAATGGTCACACTGTACTCTCCTCTGGGCTGTTCGATCAATACCAGCAGGTTGCCATAGTTACCCGCCTTCATACCCTCTGCACTGAAACACACACACACCAAACATGTCATTCTTCAGGTTTCTCTGATTTTAACAGGTGAATATGATGATGTTCTTGTTCACTAGTTCTGCATGTGTGTGTGTATCACCTGACAGTCTGTGCCATGTTAGTCAGAGGGGTGGAGGCGAACGGAAGGAAGCCGGTGTGATGCAGACTAGACCAAACCTGTATCAGGAGCAAAGGCTGTTTAGTCCTAGATCATCACTTCATATAACCCTGACTTAATATAACTGTGAACATTTACCTTCCCAGGCTGCCGAGCAGCCAGAGCGATAAGGCAGTTGACGCAGGAAGTGATAACATTTACCGGAGGGTTAATAACGGAGGTCAACCTATAACACGAATCACACACTGTCAATTTCATTAATAATCAGTGTTTACTGTTTGGTCTTTATGTTTACATGTGCACTTCACCTCTGTAGCAGCATGTAGATCCGTGATGTGAGTGGCAGCAGACAGTCAGACACTGTCCAATCTGTGCTGATGATCTTATGAACCAGATCCAAGATGGGCTTCACTCGCTCACAGTGTGCCAACACATCTATTCACCCGAGACAGATGTCAATAGCAGGTCAACAGGCGGCAACATTTTTACAAAATGTAAACATCTTCAAATACATAGGGCTCTATGATTTCCACATTGTATCCCGTCATAAAAATGTACAGTATATGTAACGGCAAATTCTGGATAAAATACTGCAAAGTAGGGCTGTACACTTAATCAAATCTTGATATGGACTATTGACAATAAACCTATGTTGTGTAGCACTTTGTTTGCTAAACAAATAAAAGCAATTGTTACATTTTAATTTGATTACATTTTAAAAGATGAATTAAATTGTTAATGTTTTATATCATTATATCAAAAGTACAGAAAAAATAAAACCGACAGCACAGAATTTCTGAAAAAAATTAAACATTTCTTAAGGCCCCATTATTGTATTAATTTGATTAAATTATTAAAATGTTGAAGTTTCATGAATTAAATTAACATTATTTCTGATTATTAAACCATTTAATTTAATAATTAAAACAGAATACATAAAAATGTAAAAGGAAAACAGAATTTGACCAAAATAAATCTTAAATTAAAATTCAAACCTAAAAATGTAATTATAAATAAACTTGTTAAATTTGAACAAGTTTCATTATTTAAAATAATTAGACATGCTTTATGAGCACTAAAATTTCATTCAATCCTTAAATTGGAATCCAGAGACATTACCAAAAAAGAATTTGGGGGAAAAAAATTTAACTTTTCATAGGGCCCTAAAAATTTAATTATAAATAAGTTTCATGATTTAAATTAATTAGACATGCTTTTTGATTACTAAAATTAAATTTAATCATTAAGACAGAATTGAGAAAAATTCTAATGCAAAAAATAGGTTAATAGGGCCCTAAATGCATGTAAGTTTTGAGTGTTCGTACCTGCAGTAGAAACGACGTGCAGCAGCATCTCAAGCTCACAGGTGAAGAGAGTCCATGAGCTATAGGAATATTCCCAGCGCACCAGGAAACCCTGTTCACCCACAGACAGCTGCTTTCCTTCACACACCTGTCCGAAACATCCCTGAGGCATCTGCAGGTTGGTCTGACCCACCCCTGAACATACAGACAACACCAGAGAAAATGTCACAAAGACATATGTTTTCATACGCAGATGCAATCAGGCAAAGAGACGCCAAAACACAGGAACACATGTTTTCAGCACTGACCCAGAGGGTAGAGGAGTTTAGGAGTCTGTCTCCTCCACAGAGTGCCATCCTCTCTGGAGATCACATCGTTGGGTTTGTGCTTATAGGCCTCAGTGTAGAACGACATCTTATCTAAAAAGGTGTACACCTGAGAGACAGACCATGAAATGTCCACGAGATCTAAATTATTGTGTAGAAGTGTGCATATATGTGATGTTAGAAAATGTTAAGAGGGCATTTTTTTACTTTTTAGTTTTACCTTCTTAGCTGTAGATTTGTCAGACAGCAGTGCAGTGAGCAGCTGTAGTAAAGGTCCAGTCTTATATGGAAACAGACCCACTGTACAGTCCAGAATCACTCCGAGACCCATGTTTGGATTCTGTAGGGCACAACCAGAGGTCAAAGGTCAAATCACAGACATTTTAAATAAAACACAGAGAATCTACAAATAGTGGTGTTTTATTTAATGTGCACCAATTGCTTTGCTCACCGACTCCCAGAAAAGCTCAGCCAGACTCGGAGCAGCAAGAACTTCACATGCTGCATTGATCAGATGCTACAGACAGAATAATTACCAGACTTATCCAAGATGAATGCGTAATTTATTATTAATGAATACCAGTATCACGATATTACGTTTTGATCTCTGTCTGTTGGTTTGTGTATTTCTGTACCTGTTGGCTGCCGAGTGTTTCTTCTTCAAAAGAGGTGATGACAAAAGACAGGAGACCATATATACACATCCGTGCAGTGCTCGCTGTACACTAAAATGAGACAGAGACATGTGACAGTATGCATAAAGGTTCACGTCACCACTGGAGAAAGATTTTTTTTAATCTAAGCAATTTGATAGAACACTGTTCTTACGTTATTTCCAGTGCTGCCGAGTGCCTGCAGCATGTTGGTGAGGTACTGAAAGACTCCGAGCTGCAGCGTCGTGTGTCCTAGACGTCTAATCACAGAGCTCACTTCCTCTGGACGCAGTGTGTGTCGCAGCAGAACCCAGGCCAAGAGAACCGGCCCATGGTGAGAGATGTCACCAAATGTCAACAGCATCTGATCCACTTCCTGCACACACACAACAGTTGATCAACAAAAAAGCAAATCCTCAACATTCTAAGTAAAACAAAATTGTTCATCCATTCAGATTTTAGAGCCAGAGTTATCAATTTTTACAAAAGTTAATTTAGTCTTAATATGCAATTTCATTCTAAAGTTTGGGGTCAGCAAGATTTTTGGAATACTTTTATTCAGCAAGGATGCATTAAATTGATCAAAAGTGACAGTAAAGACATTTGTAATATTACAAAAGATTTTTATTTCAAACAAAAGCTGTCCTTTTGAACTTTCGATTCATCAAAGAATCCCAAAAAAAGTATCACAGTTTTCACAAAAATATGAAGCACCACAACTTTTCTCAACATTGATAATGAGAAAAAATATTTCTAGAGCAGCAAATCAGCATATTAGAATGATTTGTGAAGGATCATGCGACACTGAAGATGATGCTGAAAATTCAGTGCTGATCACAGAAATAAATTACATTTTAAATTATATTCGAATAGAAAACAGTTATTTTAAAATGCAATAATATTTCACAATATTACTTTACTTCTGATCAAATGAATGCAGCCTTGGTGAGTACAAGTGGGTTCCTCAACATCTGAATGGCAGCGTATGTTCAATACCTTGCAAATATCCTGTTGGTCAAAAAACTGATGCTGTTCGGTTCTATCTTCTAGAGCACATTTATGCAGAAAGTCGATATCCATCCCCTCCACAAGAATCAAAGAACTGAAATAGCTGTCGAGAGGATGACAATTCAGATATTATAAAACATTGTTTGTGGTTGTATGAGAGGAAAAAGATCAGGTGACTGCATGTTCTGACCCAATGCGTTCAACCAGCGCGTCCATGCTCTTGTCCACGAGGTGTCGATTGGTCTGCCGCTGTCCAAAGCCCTGCTCCTTAAACAGCCGTGTGAAGGTGGAAAGGTCATTGGGCGGCATCTCGAAGTATGCGTAATACAGGAACAAGATCTCCAGCAGCAGGGCCTGTTCCTTCAGACACTGCACAAACCAGTGGGACACCTGCCTCTCCGTCTACACAGAGATGAACAGATCCTGAGTCAAATTCTACAGGTGATGCCGCTTTAAACACAATCATATCATCTTCTCACCATCAGGATTCCATGCGTCTCCCATGTTGGAGCTTCTGATTTGGACAGCGACTCAAACTGCCGCCTGTAGTTGGACACCAGATCTTTCTCCAGTTTACTAACACAGTTGGAGTACTCTGCCTGAAAAGAAAAAGGATGTATTAAAATTATTTGGTTTCTGACTGTCTAACAGAATAGCTGATCTCTTATTTACCCTGTATGGATGTCTCTCATCCTGGAAGTACGTGAGGAGGTGGAGAACGCAGCGCAGAACGCACAGTCTCTCTTCATAGTAGTAATCTGCTATCTGTACAACACAATTTCAACATGTGTCACATTTCAATATATTTTAGAGTCATTTTTAGTGTTGAAGCATTATTTAGTTTCAAACCTTCAGCAGCAGAGCTTGACTCTGTCTCTCATCCTGCAGCACAGCCTGATGGGAACAAAAGGAGGATTATTTATTTATTCACACAAACTGACTCTCGTCATGTTCATGCACGCTTCAGCTGTACATGCGTGTACCACATGATGCCGAGCTCACCTTGAGTGTGTTTCGTGTGCCCCTGTAGTCCTCCTGAAGGTAACACTGAAGAATCTGCACACTTTGCTGTTCATCCAAACCCTGACATGAAAAAAAAAACACAAATATTTTTCCACTCCTTAAGTATCAATTCAGTTAGTCTTAGCCAGTATGTATAAATCAAATAAGAGAGAGTGCAATGTTTTCAAAAACCAAGAGACATCATCCTAGAAAGCATTTTGGGTAAAAGCATGCATATGATAAACAAAATCAAGTGCTGCACTTTAAGTTGTGGTCAAAGTAAGCAGCTAACTAGGTTTAAAAATACGTGCCCAGACACTCACCAGCAGTTTGCTGATCCTGAGTCCGAAGTCTTTGAGAGCTTGTGGTGTGTCTTTATCTGCTTTCAGCTTGTCAGCGGCCGATGTGCTGCACATAACATTATCACTTACTACATACTCAACAACAGCAAAAAGACAAATTTGGTATGTTTACATACACTAATTTTAGTGTTATTTTACTATCACATATACTATACATTTTGAATTAATCATTTTAATTGTAGTTTAATTTAGTACTTCATCTTAAACTAAATGAGAAATGCTGCCTTGGCAAGTAGCCAAAATATATATATAAATTTTTTTTTATGAAAATGTTTTTTATGGTTTTAGTTAATGATAATACCCTGACTAATTATCATCAATTCGAAAGAAATTAATCAGATTCTGAAAAGTCTGTTTATGTAAACCTAAAATTTGCAATCCAATTTGCATATTTGTTTTTTTCATGCACATTATATGTATTCTGAACAAAACTGGATGTGCGCAACAGGTATACCACGGAGTATGTATATCATTAAATAATATCTCCCTAGCTTGATAAAGCCAAACTCTTCTTTGTGTTCAGGTTATTTATTTTTACATCTTACGTGTTTGTACATTTTTTAATGTTGTGTTACCTGGGTGGTTTGTAGAAGGACAGACCCTGCAGCAGTCTCTCCCAGTTCCGATCCAATTCAGCCTCGATTTGGGCCTGCAGGATCACACAAGAAAACCACAGGTCACATTATAGATGGAGACAGGAACTCACCGAGATACACTGTAAAAGGATACCTCATCAAAGGTCATCACATCAGTATGGTTTAAGAATAAAACCGCTTTATTAATAGTGTTTCTTCACAGAATTCTCTCAAATAAATTTTTAGTTTATACACAGCTGTCCAATTAAATCTGTGTACTTATGTTGTTATTAAAGGGGTCATATGATGCGATTTCAAGTTTTCCTTTCTCTTTGGAGTGTTACAAGCTGATTGTGCATAGATAAGATCCCTGAAGTTGCAAAGACTAAAGTCTCAAAACCAAAGAGATATTCTTTATCAAAGTTAAGACTCTGCCACGCCCTACGACTAGTGCTTGCGGTGTTCGGCCAATCACAATGCACTGGGTCAGCTGGCCAATCAGAGCAGACTGCGCTTGTCGGAAGGAGGGACTTTGTAGAAAACAAAGCGTTTGAGAGAGGCGGGGCATAGAGGACTTACAATAATGTACAGTATTTGAAAAATAATGTGTTTTTTGAACATTAAAGCATGTCAACATATTCTGTTACACCAAATGCACAAAATAATGATCTTTAAAAAAGCATCCTACATCACCTTTACTTCAGAAATGATTGGTCTGGGTACTAACCGGTTCTCGAAGTGCAGATCTGCCCAGCAAGATAGTCCATAAATCTCGGCTGCTCCTAAATAAAAGTATTTAAATGTGACATTATTAATTATACTTCCAGAACTGATCATATAAAGGCAGTGTCATTATGGTGTTTATAAGTCCATCCATACATACACTACTTACATAGGAAGTTCACATATAACTTTTTTGTTTTGTTTTTTTTACATCAAATCATATTCATGAAATAAGCCATTCATTTTCAACTAAAAAAACGTTTTAGAACAATTCGGTACAGCTCTTAACAGCTCAATTACTTATTTTTATACATTTTATAAACTACATGCATACACAGTCAAGTACCCTGTAGAGATGTATAATAAGATACATATATACACACACACAATGAAACTCATTCATCACTTCAAACTCCTATAATTCGTTCTCACCAAGACAGTCAAATCAAGAGGAACATTTGCACAATTAATCAATGTTATGATGTTAATTTCGTATAATGTTGAAGAAGTTGACGGTTGCTTAAAAGCTGTTATAAACTGTGCAGATTATCATTTGAATTTCAGTCGCGCGGGTCTGTCAGCCAGCACACGAGACCGACTCGTGCGGCCGTTAAACGTCAAATAAACAGCACGTCGAAGACATACCAGCCCCTCATATTATGGCTAAATACCAGGTATAAAATATCTACACATTATCCAACTACAAATTTCGTTGCAGCTCGTTCTGAACAACCTTTGTAAGTTTGGCTTTCTTCCATTTTACCTGACACACAGCTCCGAGGCCGCCATCTTCACCCGGATCACGTGACTAACACAAACGAGCGCTCTCCTGTCACGTGACTTAACGAAATCCTATAATACATATATATTAATACAATAATTATTTTATTAAATTTTAAAATGTAAATTCGCAATATTAAAATGTTATAATTAAAAAAAAAATCTTTGTTTTGACATTAGCCACGTGATTATTCTGACACCACGTGCTCCTATCCGTCAGTCAGTGAGCGCTGAGCACGAGTCTCAGCAAAACATTGGGAATATTCTTTTGTTCGAGAACCAAGCGTTAAATCGCAGGGAAAAGGGTAAGATGAACCGTTATTTGCTGTAATTTGATATTTCTGCGTTTATTTACTGTGCATGGTGTTTACTGAGCAGCTGGTGTTGCAGTGAATGAGCCCATCATCACCTCTATCTGTAACAAAACCCTATCAAATAACATTAAACATCAGCATTGCGTTGGGATTTGTATTATAATTTAATATTAATACTGACAATTCCTTCGAATATATCTATAACATGCATGCAATTGCATACTATCCATGTATTAATAAGCAAATGTGCTTGTAAGCAATAGAGACATCAAGGCTGTCAAACAATCACTATTATAATATTTTATGTCTAATAATGCATTTATCGTTATTTACAAAAATGTAATTTGTATTAAGTAATATAAATACATTTTATGATTACCTAGAAACTGTATTGAATAAGATTGTGTTAAAAAATAATATCCTCTAATATACTATTTTCAGAGTTGCCTACTTGTAAAATATTTATATTATATACACATTTATGTTATTGTTTTTGATACAGTATTTCTGGGTGCTTATAAAACCCTAATATTGCAAACACTAATATGATTTATTAAAGTATAGTGTGACACAGGCCAGGTTTTCTCTATTATTCGTATATATGTTCAATCACTGTAATGCCAGAGCATCCAGCCATTAAAAGCAGATCGTTGTACTTTCCCTGACAGAGTGACACTTTGTCCATTTTAACATCTGACCATGTTTAGAAACTGCTGGTGTCTACAGTTCAAGCCTCACATCCTTCTTTAGTTTAACAGTGAGAGAATAGCTCTGGACAGTACGGATGTGTCTCAAAACCTAGTTAGCTCCCTATCTAGTATTTTAAGGGACGTCTATTGTGCTCAGAAATGCTGCCTAGGTAGGTTTTGAGCCACGGCCTGTCTGTAGGTGGCATCACATTGAATATAACATAACACTGAGTGAATCGATTTCCTTCTTTCAGAATTTTTACCATAATATAATGATGATTTGTGAAAAAAGAGCTAAGGCTGTAGTACCATGGAATAGTTCAGATGGTAACACCATAGTATTTTGGCATATAACAAATTATACTTCATGGTTAACATACTACATATTTGTAATTACCATGTAAATGGTATTTACATTGTACTCCAGGTTACTTAAAATAATACTATGACATTACCATGGTATATTTGCCAAAAAAGAATGATATAGCTATAGGACATATTCATATTAATTAGCTTCAAAAAATGGTTTGTTTATTTTAGTTTATTATGTGTTTTTCTCTGGAGTAAAAAATTATAAATATGAAAATATTGTATTATTATATTTTATTTTAGCTTATTATGTGTTTTTGTTTGAAGAAAATACTGAAATTGAGAGAAAACATTATTAGAGTTGATTTATTTTAGTTTATTATGTGTTTTTGTTTGGAGAAAAATACTAAATATGAAAAAAAATTATTATTATATTTTGTTTATGACGTGTTTTTGTTTGAAGAAAATACTAAAATTGAGAGATGTCTTCCAGTTCCGGCCTTCGGCCAACAGCGGCGTGTTACCGGCCAGCATGGTGCTGCCGCTGCTGGGACTGGCTTTGAGGGGGCGCTGCATCGCTGTGGGGAATGTTTACATGGAGCGATTCGCAATGGTCATAACAGTGATCGGTATGATTTTGGCTTTGTTCCTATCGCTCATCGCGTTGGGAATCACACGCCCGGTGCCCACAAACACCTGTGTTATAGCCGGCATCGCCGGCAGTGCCATTCTGTACACAGTCAAGCAAACACTAACAGTCTCCGAGGTGATCGAAGTCTTGGAGGTGTTGCTTATTTTTGTATATCTAAGCTTAATCCTCTTGTACCTCCTCCCACGCTGCTTCACTCCCGGAGAGGCCCTCCTCATCCTCAGCGGGATCAGTTTCATCATCAACCAGCTCATCAAACGCTCTCTGGCCTCATCTGGGAATGCAAACGCAGACCCGCTTCCATATTTCCTCCCGGTCGCCGTGTTAGGCTTAGTGCTGCTGGGAATCTTCTTCGCCTTGCTTTTCGTATTCATGGAACCAGAAACCTGGTCGGCGTCGCTCTTCTTCCACACCATGACGGCCGTTTTGGGATTGGGCCTATTGGTTCCTTGGCTCTCCCTGCTCACACAGCATCACCCCATCACCTGGTTGATGCATTTCGTCACCGAAACCAACACTCGCCTTTGGCTGATCGGATTCTGGGCCGCTTTGTTGCTTCTAGCGGTTGCCGTTGTGATGTATCAAAATAGTCATCGCTCAGCCGGAAGCAAGAAGCACCAAGCTTCGACGAGCGTGCGAAAGTATTTCCACCTCCTCACCGTATTAACTTTTGCTCCCGGACTCGCAATAGATCGTCCTCTGCTACATCTAGCCGCGGTCGGATGCCTCTCAGTGTTTTTGCTCCTCGAATTCGTCCGCTATTTCCGCATCCGACCTCTGGGGGCGCCACTGCGATGCCTTCTTACTTTATTCCTGGATGAGAGAGACTCAGGACCGCTTATTCTCACCCACATCTACCTTCTCCTTGGCGTCGCCCTTCCAGTCTGGCTCACGCCCGCATCCTGCACCCCTAATGGAGGCCTAGGGGGCGCCGGTGGCCTGGTGCCCTACGCCGGTGTGTTGGCAGTGGGAGTCGGCGATACAGTTGCGTCTGTTTTTGGCAGCACGGTCGGCGAGATCCGCTGGCCCGGCACGAAGAAAACCTTTGAGGGCACCGCAACCTCCGTATTTGCTCAGATCATCGCCGTGGTGGTTTTCCTCATCGCCGACAGCAGTATAAACCTGAACGCCAGCTACTCGTGGGTGGTGGGTTCGATCACAATGGTGGCCATGCTGGAGGCGTATACGTCGCAGATAGACAACCTGCTGCTTCCTTTGTACCTTTACATCCTCCTGCTGCTATGAGATCAGACCCGTTCAGACAAATCAGACCATTATGCCAATGCACAGATATCAACAGCATTAAATTCATACGTTACAGCTCTAGTATTGTGAGTTTGGAAAGCAAAATGCAATAATGAAACATCATTAGAGTGTTTATGACCCTCGTACAGTGAATAGAAATGCACTTAAATTTATTCAAGAATAATCGTTTCTTATAGTATTGGAGTGAAACAAACTAGAAAACTACTTGATATTGTAAACGACATACAAAATGGCACAAAAACAGATGTTTGAAGGTGAAATGTGTATTTTTTGCACCACAAGTGGCAATTGCAAAATGCTTGATTGAGTCGCACATGACAGCTTTGTTTGAAAACACAGTTTGGTGCCGCTGTTGGCAGCTTTAAAGGGATAGTCCACTCAAAAAAATCATTTACTCTGCCTCATGTCATTCCAAATCCGTATGCATTTCTTTCTTCTGTCGAACACCATTGACTTCCATAGTATTTTTTTTCCTTGCTACAAAACAGTTTGGTTACCAACATTCTTCAAAATATCTTCTTTTAATTTCCACAGAAGAAAGAAACTCATACAGGTTTGTAACAGCCCGAGGGCAAGTAAATTACACAATTTTCATTCTTGGGTGAACTATACCTTTAAGTATTCTTCATTTTGATTTTTCAAGGTGTACATGTGATAATTATGTTGTTTATAGAGAATTAATTTTTTGTGTGTCCTCAGAAAGCTCTGATGTCTTGAGACGCTGTTAATATTTCATTCGCTCAAATCCTGCGTCTGTCATGCCAGTATAAATGACAGGGATTGAGTTGCACATTATTTAAAAACGAAATGGAAAATGTGATGCCCTTTAACAATGCCTGCACTTGCTGATAAACACACAAACACACGTCTTGGATGCAAACACAATACACAATGTTTTATTTAGATAAATCTCACGAAAACATGTCTGCCTTTATTTTTTATATTGTCTACATAATTTTATGTTTTTTTGGGAGGCACATTTCTACAATTTTAAAATGTAAAAAAAAAATCATAATTACTCTAATTACTATAATGCTAGTATATATATATATATATATATATATATATCCGTCTGACCTATGACCTTTTTTTTCATCAGAATCCTATAAAATATCTCTGGATATTTAAATAAAAATATTAGTGCTGTCAAATGATTAATCACATCCAAAATAAAAGTTTTTATTTACATAATATATGTTTGTGTACTGTGTATATTTATTATGTATATATAAATACACACTCATACAGTATATTGAAAATATTTACATGTATATATTTATATAATTTATATTATATATAAATATATTTTATATACTAATAAATCTTAAATATATACATGCATGTGTGTGTATTTATATATACACAGTACACACACATGTAAATAAAAACTTTTATTTTGGATGCAATTAATTGCGATTAATCGTTTGACAGCACTAAAATATATATATATAAAATTTAGATTTTTGTGACAATTAGGCATATTAAATTCTTATTGTTATATGTCTGTATATTTTATAGGTTAACAAACTACTATTATGTATATATACTTGGTTATTTTAATAATATATATTTATAATATTTAATTAAACATTCAATGATATTTAAAACTGTTAATTTTTTGCATTACAATAATTAGAATTAGTTTTTTTTTACATTATAAAGTTGTGGAAATGTACTTGTGTCAAATTGCGAAAAAATAGGATTTTATTTCGGCAAAACAATTGTTTTTTTTCTTTCTTTTGATTTTGTAGTGAAATACGACCCTTGACATGTTTTATCAGATTCACCCGTTTTTTTTAAATATAGTTTATCCTTTCAGTCCTTTATAACGGCATATATGCATCACGTGAGCCATCGAAGAACACTGTTGTTTTTCTATTATACGACAAAAATACTCAAATATAATTTTGAATCTATGAATAGGATTTTATGTCCAATGCAATATGAAGGACTGGTAGCATAGCTTGTCGCTTTAAAGTGTTTTGTATTCTGAATAGTTCAATGCTATCAGTGGTTGGTCTGCATGGGTCTGTATGTAGGAGGCAGTAGATATTAAAGTCGGCATGAAACGGAAGTTGCGATTGTCTTTTCTTCTCTACTGTGACGTATATCCGAGTGAAACGGCATCTGAAATGAGAGGGCGGGACTTGATTTCGTCCTTCGGGAATTGATTGGAACGTTGGAAGCTGGAGCGTTGCTAACAAAATGGAGGCAGATCTGAATGCCAGTTTGCAGTTAGTGGTGGGGGATTTCTCTCCACTGGATTCACAACTGACACCCAAGCATGAATAAATGTTTTATTTATTAAGGATGACGATCAACGGCACAAAACATGCCTAAACAGCGCGCGTGTGCAAGAGAGAGAGACTGCCTGAATGACTGAGCGTATTCTCCATCAAGTTAAGTCATATTCATGAAAAAATTTAGTTTGCGTTGTCCTAAGAGTAATGTTGTAATATCCTAATATCTTTTCAATGTTTAGGGGTAACGTACTCCCTCATGACTGGTGTCAGTGCTACAAAGTGAAGCATCAGCTTCAGCTTTTCCCCTGTCGTTTATCCCAGCGTTTACCCCTCACGTCACTAGCTCCACCCTTGCGCCATAGCTCGTGACCGGAAGAGTAGAGGAGTCGTTTTGAGGGGGAGGGGAGGTTAACGTTTTTGATTTAAGATTAAGAAGGCACATGAATTTAAAAAAAAAATAATGAAGTGCACGGATTAATTATTTATAATAAACACTACAATATTCCATTAAAAAAATAAGAATTTTCCATTTTGATTTCATGGTGACTTTAAAGGTGGGGTAAGTGATTTCTGGTAGCCAATGTTGACATTTGAAATCACCAAAACAAACACGCCCCTACCCCAAAAGGGTCTCGTCCCTATTTTTGATAGCTCCGCCCCACACATACGTACGCAACCCAGGCATCCATTAGTTCTGTGAAACAAAGCAAAACCAATGTTACACTGTCTACACCAGACGCGAGTGGTGCGGCGCGACAAAATACTATAGAACTCATTATAATCAGTGATGCTGTCTACACCATAGATATATATACATATCTATGGTCTACACTGGATGCGGCGCGGCGTGACACGACAAATCCCCGACAGAAAACTGCTGCTGCATTCTATTCATGACGTATTGACACAAATTTCAAATGATTTTCAACGGTTGCTTTATCGCGTCCAGTGTACTGGACAGATTTTAGTTGTTGCGGCGCAGACACGATGTTACTCACCTATCGAGAAGAAACAAAGCAACCTCGGCATCCGATTGCAGGTCTTCCGCTCCTTGAGTTCTCTCCAGCGCCGGAAAGCTGATCCGGTATTTACACGGGTCCTACTTCTTGCCTTAAGCCTTCGGTTGTTCCGCAGACGTTTTCATCTTTTGTTTTTTATCCGCCATCTCTATCTTTCTGTCGCTCGGATCGAACTGAGCGCTCTCTCCTCCACATCATGAGTAGACACGCCCCTTACTGCTGATTGGCTACAAGTTTGTTTTGCTATTCAGCCCGAATCAGTTTTCTAAAGCGTTTTTGAAAAATCGCTTACTCCACCTTTAATGTACAGATCACTATCCTGTAAACGCATGTATGGAGTTCAGCTGTTGTCTTTACTCTGATAAAGATTGCGTAATTCAGACATTTCGTAAATTATGCATGTTTAAACTTTCATTTATTCATATTTGACTGAGGCCTTTTTTATTGCTCAGCGTTTTGTGTTGAGTGTATTACGTTGACGGTTGTCATAGGAACTGCGGTTGAAGCGTCAATCAGCTGTTCTGGTTTGAAGTGCATTCTGGGACATTTGCATGACACTCAAGTGTATAAGTGTATAATTTATCATTTAAACTTGCTTTTAAACTACCTGGCATAGTAATAAAATGTGTTACTTTGTGGTCCATATTTTGACATTGGGATATGACAACGATTGTTGGATGTTTATTTTGTAAATCATAATTTTTAATGGTTTGTGTATTTACAGAAAACACTTTTTGTTCAAATAATTGCTTTTACTTTGCGTCAAAAGACCAGTTTTTACAACACAAGTGACTCAGCATGAAACAAGAAGTAACTTTCAGACTATTGTGAGAAAATCTTTGTTGGAATTTTTTCTATGTTGAATATCAGTTTTTTTTTTGTGTGCTATTTTTATTAAAGTTGGTTTTTCAGCAATGTCTATAAATGTTATTTTTCAGATTTTCCCATCAGTGATTGGTTGACATGAGAACTGCAGTTTGGTCATTTATTTTCTTCATCAGGAAATCCAGATTATACTTATCAAACGTTCATACCTTTTCTATATTATATTGATTTTGGTGGGTACTCAGAGAATGTTGCGTTAAAGGAAATAAAGTGAATTTCTAATCAAATTAAATGTTTCTTGCTTTCTAAAATTCAGATTATAAATAAACACTCTTTGGTTGACAAAAACTAGCCTTTTATTAACACTGTTGTGGTTGTAGATCAAATATACAGATGATTCAAAATGATTCACATTTTTTGGTCCATTTACAAAACTTTGATTGTTGGTCCAGATGTTAAAAAGGCTCATTATAGTCACGTGACTGTCCTGATATCTTCACGTGTTATCAGGTCTGTTTTGGTGTTCTTTCTGTCTTTAGGTGTAGAGGGACGGGAAGGGCAGCTCTTCTGTTGGTTGTAGCCTGAGAGACAAAAACAGATTCACTTTACAAACTAGGCTTTCTCCGATGCTTCCTAACGCAAGTCCTGCATTACCCAGCATGCACTGTTCTTACCAGTTCTCAGGACTCCAAACAGTGTTTTGAGACTCCATAACGTGAAAGGTGTAAACGTGGCGTGAGGCGTCAGATGTGTTTGCAGCGCTGCGGTGGACAACTTCACTGTGAATCAGAACCGCTCCACCTACAGTACCACAAACATTCGACAAAAGTGGTCCAAAAAATAAACAAATTATTACTTTTATTCAGCAAGGATGCATTAAATTGATAAAAACTGACCTTTATGTTTAATGTTACAAAAGGCGTCTATTTCTCTTTTTTTTTTCTTTCATTTTTTCAAACAGTCTTGAAAAACAAGTATCACAAGTATCATATTAGAATGATTTCTGAAGGATCATGTGACACTGAAGACTGGCGTAATGATGCTGAAAATTCAGCTTTGCATCACAGGAATAAATTACATTTGACAATATATTTCAATAGAAAACAGATATTTTAAATTGTAATAATATTTCACAATATTACTGTTTTTACTACATTTTTGATCAAATAAATGCAGCCTTGGTAAACGAGACTTTGTTAAAAATTATAAAAAATATAAAACTTCATACGAAAGTTTCTGTAAATGTGTTGTGTGTTATAGTTTTAGTATTAAATTTTTTTTAAGCATGGCAGGTCATTTGAGCTGGTTTAAGATGGTCCTTAGTTGGTCATAAGCTGGTTTAAGCTGGTCCTGAACTGGTCCTGAAGAGAAAAAATATATATATATACACACAATACTATATGCACATCTACATTAATACAAAATATTATGTACACATACAGGTAAGTACAGGAAACAAATTATATATATATATAAAAACAGACTAATTTTTCTCAACTATTATTATTAATGTTTGACAGCTAATTTTACTTCTGGTACGAATACTATATGCACATCTACATTAATACAAAATATTATGTACACATACAGGTAAGTACAGGAAACAAATTATATATATATATAAAAACAGACTAATTTTTCTCTACTATTATTATTAATGTTTGACAGCTAATTTTACTTCTGGTACGAAGTTATAAGTTCACACAGTGAACTGCGAAATCAAATAAAACCCTTAAAACTTAAACAACAAAAAAACTCATTACCTATAACCACAGACTGTATAAAAACATGGACGTAGTGTCCGTGACGTCACCCGTAGGTTTCCGAAGAGCGTTTTTGAAGCTCAAAGTGGGCGGAGCCGGCCGTCGCCATCTTGGCAGCGCGTCACCGCGTAAAGAGGCGGGAGCTGGTTGCTGAAACCACGCCCACCTAGCTCGACGGCGGTGACAGCAGCAGCAATCCACCTGTCACTCAAGTGGCCACGCCCCTAATTATGCAGAACTTTAAGGCTTAATATAATTTAAATGGATGACTTATAAAAAAATTCACCCCCCTCACAGTTGTCATGAAGGGCAAAATTAGCTATATAGACCAAAACCACTTTTTGTACCAGGCTGTAAAAAAAAAATTCTGCTGTAAATTTGGGCATTTTAACATGGGGAGTCTATGGGACTGACTCCCTTTTGCAGCCAGCCTCTAGCGGCCAGTTGATGAATTGCAGTTTTAGTCACTTCCGTGTTGGCTTCACGAGAGAGACCGGAAGGGTGCCGCTTGCCTGTAACTCACCTTTTTTAACAGGAGTGGGAACGAAGAGCTTGTCGTCGTAATTCTTCTCTCGGCCAATGAAATCAGTCAGAGGAAACGTGCCTTTAGGTGTCCGCACCATTCGCCTGGTAATCCCATCTAACACACGCGGGAAAAGAAGCACATTTTAAATGCAAAATAAAGCTTCACTCAAACAGCACGCATGCGCAAATGAATCTGAATAAATCACCGTTGTGTGATCCCGGTATGAACCACAGACAGCCGTTCTCCAGCGCAGCGTCTTCCAGAGCGATCCACACGCCCATCACTCTTCCCAGAGGCTGCGTGTGAAGGAAGGTGGCGTCCTGGTGAGGGCTCACTGAGGTCAAAGATCAAGGTCAACCAAGTGTTTTTCTACTGCATTCCTATTGGTTAAAGAAAGGGAGGGTCTTACCTTCTCCACCAATCCCTGGTTGCTGTTGACAGAACAGGCACAGAAGAGGCGAGTAATGAAATAATTATCTTTACAAAGTGTGTCAGTAACATTAAATAAGTACTGTATGCAGGACATATGAACTGTACCTTAAAGATGTACATACTCTGCAGAATCACAGGATTTATCAGGCCAAGGTTCTTCACCAGATTCTGCAGATTAGAAACAAACACATTTTGATGAACTACAGTGTCTAAAAATTGGCATAGTGAAAAGAGTGTTGTATATTTGGCAAGTTTTTTTTTCTTTCTGACACCAAGACGATTAAACAGCGGACTGCTAGTCTTAGCTTGAAACCAGAGTGGTCTAGGTCAGTATTATTTTAGTATTATTTATATAATATCATAGTACTAACCGTACTTCTTAATATTTGGAGTTTTAAGTAAGCTTTTTTTGATATTTCTGTATAGCTTTAATACATTTTTATTTCAGGTATAGTTTTAGTAATAATATTTTGAATTAGTTTTAAATTTTATATTTTCAGTTTACATTTTAGAAAGTTTGTTACTTGCTTTTGTCATATTTTTTGTATATTTCTATATAGATTTAATTAATTTTCATTTCATGTATAGTTTTACTATTAATATTTTGAATTCATTTTATTTTTATATTTTCCGTTTTTGTTATGTGCTTTTGTCATTTTTTTTAATATTTATATACAGCTTTCATTTTTATTTCAGGTATAGTTTTAGTAATAATATTTTGAATTCATTTTTATTTTCAGTTTTAGTTTAATTTACAATTTAGAAATTGTTATTTGCTTTTGTCAATTTAAAAATATTTCTATATATATTTAACAAATGTTTATTTCAGTTACAGTTTTAGTAATAATATTTGGATTTTTTTTGTTTGTTTACATTTAATTCAAGTATTAAGTAATTTTGTAATGTGCTTTTGTCATTTTTATTATTATTTAACATTTCTATATAGCTTTAATTCATTTTTATATTAGTTATACAGTACTTCAGCTTATTTTAAGGTTTTTTAATCTAAAAAAATTAAATCTAATATTTATTTTATTTCAGCTTTTTTTTTTCCAAATACTGAAATTATTTTTAATGCTTTTAGTTTTAGTTTACAACACTCGTCTCTGGGTTGTCTGGTTTTAAAGAGGTCTCCCAAGAGCTTTCTCATAAATCTTCCAATTAAATCAATTGAGGTTTTGACATGAGTGTAATGTTTACATAAAAAGGACCACAGTTTACATTTGTTTACATGGAGGTTTGATCATTACTTGAATTTTGGGGGAGTGGGTGACCGCTTTAAACAGCGGCTCATAAGCGTGGAGAGCTGTGGGAAAGATTAAACACAAATACTTATGAGCAAAGAATGATATATGATGAATGATAAATGGCAGGTTATGTTTAAACATGACTGAATTATATGAAATGCTATTTTCGTAACTACCCACCATGGCCGATTTTATTCAAGGACTGCTCTCTTGGCACGATGAACTCTCCTGAAAACACAACAGTCTCATTATGAGATGAATTTGCTGTCTTTTTCTATATCTCAACATGATAAACAAAGCAACTAAACTACAAACCTTTATCATCAAACACTCCTTTCTCAAAGAAGAAACGGATCTTGTCTCCACTGGTGATGAAATAGTCTGCATTTCCCTGGACAAACACCAAATATGATCATGATTTAACTTTTTTTAACTGCTTCTGAATGTACATGGATTTACAAGGGTAATTTTTCCAGTTACGACAGGGCTTGTAACTACATTTACCTGCATCTTTACCCAGAAACATTTGGTTGCATGTGGGAAGTAAAGCGTAGAAGAACGTTTATTATGGCACTACCGTAAATGCTTGCTGATGATGCATTCAGGGGATTCATCTGGATGAGTTTACCTGTGTTTTAAGCTGCTCGTCGTGGTCAGTGGAGAACTGTGTCCTGCAGTGTTCAGGAACGTCCATCCGCTCAATGATCTCACTCATACGGTCCCGTAAAGCATCACACTCCTCTGGGGACAGAAGGCCATCCAGCACCAGATAGCCCTCATCCCGGTACTGCACAATAAAAACATATCACAAACATATTCACTGCACATTCAAATGTGATTAGGACATCAACATCATTTGCTGTTCCTGACATCACAAAAAAGTAGAAAAAGTACCATTATCCTGTTGAAAAAAAAAAAAACAGCCTTTGCTGGTTATGTACGTTTTTAAGCATCACAGCTGGTTTCAGCTGGTCCTTAGTTGGTCATGAGCTGGTTTAAGCTGGTTATGAGCTGGTCCTGAGCATGAGGTAGTTGCTTAGGAGGACCAGCTTAAAACATAACCAGCTCATAACCACCTTATAACCAGTTCAGGACCAGCTTAAACCAGCTTATGACCAACTAAGGACCATCTTAAACCAGCTCAAATGATCTCACTCATACGGTCCCGTAAAGCATCACACTCCTCTGGGGACAGAAGGCCATCCAGCACCAGATAGCCCTCATCCCAGTACTGCACAATAAAAACATATCACAAACATATTCACTGCACATTCAAATGTGATTAGGACATCAACATCATTTGCTGTTCCTGACATCACAAAAAAGTAGAAAAAGTACCATTATCCTGTTGAAAAAAAAAAAACAGCCTTTGCTGGTTATGTACGTTTTTAAGCATCACAGCTGGTTTCAGCTGGTCCTTAGTTGGTCATGAGCTGGTTTAAGCTGGTTATGAGCTGGTCCTGAGCATGAGGTAGTTGCTTAGGAGGACCAGCTTAAAACATAACCAGCTCATAACCACCTTATAACCAGTTCAGGACCAGCTTAAACCAGCTTATGACCAACTAAGGACCATCTTAAACCAGCTCAAATGACCTGCCATGCTTCAAAACATACCTAACCTAACAACAGCACGCTGGTTTTTTTTTTCAACAGTTAAATATTTCTGTATTTCACATGTACCATAGCGGCATAGTATCAAAACATACCTAACCTAACAACAGCACGCTGGTTTTTTTTTCAACAGTTAAATATTTCTGTATTTCACATGTACCATAGCGGCATAGTATTCTTTAAAGGTCCCATTTTGTCAAAACTGAAATTTCCTGGCTTTTTTCATGATAACTGAGGTCTAGGTGCTATTTAACTACCATATAAGTTTCAAAACAGTCAGTCCACAGTAAAATGCACACCGCCTGCTTAAAGTAGCTGTGCCTTTTCACGAACCGTTGTGACCTCCGTAAAAAGTTGACGTCAGAACTACACAGTCACTGCCTTCAGTCACCACCCCGAGCACCGCCCACCGTCCCACTCTCCTTTTGCCAAACCCCCAGACAACATCGCGTCCATGCTTTTGCTGAGCAAGGACAACACGGAAACATGTCGAAAAGGTTAACTTTAACCACGAAACCAGATCGGCCGACCTGTAACGTTACACTCTCACTCAAAGGATGGGCGATCTGACAGGATTGTTACTATGAGGTGGATCACATCTAACGTGTATAGTACAGACAAACTCACCGTGTCTATCTAAGTTAGTCATGATGAAGATGTATATATATATTTCAATTTCAGCAGGCAACTATTTTTACAGCTACACTATTGTTCCAGCCACAATTAATCACAACAATGTATATACAATTACAAATGATTATATATAAATCGTCAGTTTGTTGTTTTACACACATGCACACGGACATAATTTCATACACGACATAGTCGTGAGATGCAAGAAACATAGACATATGGCAAGAAATCTGTAGACGCGCCCATAACAACAAAAGACAATACTTTATTTAACCTTTTCTGATAAGAAGTGTGCGCTGCAAACGTGAGCATTTTTGACAATCCTTTCTGTCCAGTCTGCTCGTTTTATGGCGTTTAACCACAGCTGTCGTCGGTTTTTTGTCTGGCAGTGGCAGCAGATATGTGATCAAATTTCTAATTTGAGGCTGTATTACGTCGATTCTGGCACCCAACATCACAACAACATGATATTTTAAGCTCCTTATGTAGCCGAACCTGCGCTGGTTTGAATGGGCCGCCTCCAGTTTCCCCTTTGTTTTGCTGCCTCCAGCTAGCGCTGTGACATCGGCTGACCCTAGTTACCTGTGGTTGGCCTGGCCGTGCGTCACTCAGAAAACAACAGGCCAATCAGAAGAGAGGCTCATGAATATTAATTAGACAGGCCAAAATCGACCTGTTCTCTGCAGAGCTCCTGAGAAAGGAGCTGTAAAATATATATAGAGATGGTTTTTGGTACTTATACCGCAAATATATATTCTTAAGGACATCAAAACCTAAAATAAAACTCCAGAAAGGTGTAAAATATGGGACCTTTAAAGTACTATGTAAATTCCATGTAATACGAGTATGGTGATCATTCAGTATTATCATATGTTTAAAAGTACTGTGGGATTTCCATCCTCGTACTATCTAATAAAAACTTAATGTGTTTTTGGGGAGAAAATACATTTACGTTTCCTTTTCGTTTTCTTTCTTTTAAACTGAGCAAAACACAAATCCACTAACTTCGGTTTTGCTGTTGCTTTACCGTCACATGATCGGTGATTCAGAAAAACGACTACTACATAGTTTGTTTGTTTTTTTAGGGTAAAGATTTGCACAGGTTTATAAAAGTTGTTAATTTTACATTATGTACAAATTTAAAATTCGTTTCTTTAATCTTTACAAATGGTAGAATAAAATACATTATCCAGGTAATCAAAAAGACTGTGATTGGTCCATCATCAACAGCGCTAAGAAAAGTAACGTTAATAATTTTCATAGGACACACAAGTCTACTCGTCGGGACATTAATAAATAAACTGTATAATGCTACTACTACTACTACTACTAATAATAATAGCTGTTAAACTGAAAACTACAAACGGAACAATTAAAATATGAAATTATTACTTTAAAGCCTTGTCTGCAGGCCCCGCCCATTTTCACGCCCCTTCTTTCATTCCACATTCCATTCTAGCAGCTTGCCCTGTTTCTAGCCTATTACGCAACACACTTCAAATTAGGATAAAACTTATTCCACACGTGCTTTCACCAATATATATATATATAATATTTTAATTTCGTGCATCTTTTGCACGAGGCGCTGATCTATGAAAATATGCATTATTAAACAAGCAGAACACTGATTGTCATCTAACAGCACTGAAGTCTTGTACTCGTAAATCTGCGTTTTCCAGCGTTTCTAATGAGCATGTGCATAAAACACAACAGCTGTCGTATTTAAGAGTTGCGATTTCAATTTAGATGCAGTTTATTACCTTTTGCACGTTTTGATCCGTCAAAATATCCATGCTGATGACAGTCTGAGAAGAAGGCTAAAAGGAAGGCTGTCCCATCCAAATCCCTCTCTCTCAGCAACCACGTGGTTGCCCCATGTCAAATACGATTAAACTGTAATCGTGATGCAATAATTGGATTTTGAACAGTAACTCTTTCATGACAGTGCAAGAAACTCAAATGTGCAGTCATAACTGCATGTAATGAAGATACTTCACAAAACAGATTCAAGCTTTGAAAAATGTAGCTGGATTTAGTCTTAATTCATTTTTTATAAATCATCAAAATGTATTATCTACATGAATGCTGTAATCATTAATACTGTGTTTCAGTGCATTATAAAACATTAATGAACTAATACAGTCTGTGCAAACTTCATTTATGAATCAATCTTTTGATCTTCACACAAAGGCATGAGAAAGATTCAAGTGTGTTCAGCTGGTATTTAAAGGAATAGCTCACGCAAAAAAAAATACTTCTGTCATTATTTACTCACACTCACCTTCTTTCTTCTGCGGAACACAAAAGATGATATAAAAAACATTGACTTTCATTGTAAGGACATTGCACTAATTATTTATTTTATTAAAAAAATACTATACATAAAAAGTTGGCGTTTGCAAACTAAATTTCTTGCATTTCTTAAAGGACATTAAATTATACATAAACCTTTTGGAACTAACAAACAAAATAATTTACTGAATACAAGTAATATTTTAAAAGCACTTAAATGTATGCAACTTTTCTGGCAGCTATTATTGTTAATAATGTGACTATGTAATACCTCTGTGTCATTTGACAACAAAAATCAATTGTATGGGTCAAATGTAAAATTGATATAGGTGACTCGATTGTAAATAAGTCACTTTTTTCCTTCAAAATGTCTTCTCCTAAAATCCACAGAGGTTTGCACGTTTCATTTTGGGGTGAGCTATCCCTTTAAGTCCATGCATATTTTGATTTAAAAGTAATAATCACCTCAGTTATCAAATCTGCCACTACCTAGCCACTATACTTTTTGAAGGAAAGTTCAAACAGCTCAATGCAACATGACCACTGCATGTTCAACTTCAAGATTTTTGATGAATAAGTGCTTTTTCAGAATGAGAGAAAATGTTGCAGGGCCTACATCTATAGAAATGAAGTAGTAGTACTTTTATGGTGGTTTTTGGATGGTACATGTTGTCTCTTTACCTGGAGAGGGCGCCTGTGTCAGACAACATGAAGGACGCTTCTGCTTTTTCTCAGCACTGTTGTTTTTGTACCTTCTGCTTTACCACAAAGAATATGGAGGAAGTGAAAGCTAACAGAGATGATTACTTAGTCATCTGGGTGTTTTAATCATTTAACAAACGCAAATCCGATCTCAAATCAGTTGGGGGAAAAAACAACTTTAGACAGCCATACAGTAACAGTTCCTGGCCCTCATATTCGACGACTACTAAACAATTCTCTAATTCTAGCCCAGATTTGAGACAGAAATGAACAGAATTCCAATTAACGAGACCGTGTTGTCCATTAACATCTTGTCATTGTAAGTTTAATTAACATCTTGTCATTGTAAGTTTGTGATGGCCGTGCACCATTCAGACTAGTTTTCATACAGTGTTTGAAGAAGTTTCAAGTGCATACTAACTTAAAGGGGTCATATGATGCGATTTCAAGTTTTCCTTTCTCTTTGGAGTGTTACAAGCTCTTGGTGCATAAAGAAGATCTGTAAAGTTGCAAAGACTAAAGTCTCAAATCCAAAGAGATATTCTTTATAAAAGTTAAGAGTCAGCCACACCTACCTAAAACGGCTCGTTCTAACACGCCCCCACATATCTACCTCACTATGTGGGAAGATTTGCATAACGCCGCCCAAATGTTCACGCAAAGAAAGGCGGCGTAACTTTTATTCTCGCTGTAGTATTGTTGCGGCCGCCGCCATGTCGTAAAGACGCTGTGTGCTTCGTTGTGAAAGCGAAACTACTTTGTTTGGTCTTCCAAAAGAGGACACGACTAGAAATCAGTGGTTAAGTTGTATTTACAACACTGTTCCAGAACACTTCAACCCAAATATTCAGATGTGTGATGCACATTTTGCGGAGGTTGAGGACTGTTTCCTGTGAGAGTAGCCTACAATGCCGTTGTCTGTTTCTATAAAGTGGGGCAGTTCCAACTTTGCAAGGACAGTCTGGCGCTTCTGACTCGCAGCCTGTAAGTAAGTTTTTTATATTTAAAAATTTGCCACTGACGATTCAACGCGACTTTTGAGCATTGTAGAGTAGCACTTGTTGTTTGTCATTTCTCCGATCACAAATGCAGACATGGTTTTATGCTTACGCGACACGATACGCAACGCAATGTGTAGAAACACAGTATAAGTCATTATAATCAGTAATTATGTCCCCACTGGATGCAACAAATGC